GAGCCCGAATAACTGATGATTACCTCCCCTCCACCTCCCTAATCCTCTTCTCAAACGCCTCAATCATAACACCCGCCATCTGCCCCTCAACAGCACCCATCATCGCCGCATGGAGCTGATTCCGAAACTCGAACTGAATCTCCAGCTGCACCCGCGTCTGCACACCTCCCCCTTGCACAGGCTTCAACTCCCACTTCGTACTCAAATACTCAAAAATGCCCTCATTCGCCCCGGGAAAGACACCCCCCTCCTGCCCATCCTTCGAGTCCACCCCGAACTTGGCCCCGCTGCGCGCCTCGACAGTCCACTCGTCCGGATTGCAGTCCACGCGCGACGTGAAGGTTTCGCTGAGGGGTCCGTAGCCGACGGTCAGAAAGGCGCGGGTCGGGTACCCGGTTTCCGGGTCGCGGTGGGTGACGGTCGAGGCTGTGAGAAAGGGAAGGAATTGCGAGTAGGAGTCGACCGAGGAGATCACTTTGAAGAGCGCTCCGGGGGTGTAGGGGAGGGTGCGGGTGGCAGTTAGGACGCGGCTTTTGCTGTTGTTGCCGTTGCCGTTGCCGTTGGTCGGGGGGAAGAGGGAGGAGAGCGAGGGGAGGTTGAAGTATCGGCGGGTTGTGAGCGGTGTTGAGCGAGTGGTTGGAGTTGTTGGTGTTCGTCGCTGGTAGAGAGGGTGATGCGAACTGCGAGGGACGAGTGCTGGTGAGGTTGAGGGACGGATGGTGGTGTTCGTTCCGCGACAAACGCGTCGCAGTGGTAAGGATGATTTCATTTTGTGTCTGAGGACTTGCATGGAGGTGGATGCCTCTGATGCAGATGTGAGATAGGGCAATTGACTACTTTTTTCCTTTGCTGCAGGATCCACGCGGGACGTGCCGAACGGCGTAGTTTGGTTTGTATAGCGACGTCATGGCCATTGAGCACAGAAAATAAGTGTGTTGTTTCTTAATAATTTCAAGTATCTCTAATTACTGCTCAAGATGGGATCTGATTGAATGAATCAAATATAAGCCTAAATCCTCGTCATGTCTCGGGGTATATACATATGCAATGCATTATATACAAGAGCAGTCAACCCACAAATGCGCCAGTTAACGCATGTAAGCAGTTAGGTCCATCACTATGAAGGTTTATGAACATCATTCAGAAGTAGCTATCGTTTAGATTCTCTCCCGAGCCGAGAGTTGTAGCTCGTCTGGGTCTGAAGACGATCGACAGGCAGCGATTACCCATGCGACCTAATGCTGGCAGATTTGAAGACGCCCGAGGGCAGCTCTCATGACTCAAAGCCAGGATACCATAGAGTGCGCGCGTTTGCATCTTCAAGGCCTTGGATTTGCTGGTCCCAGAGACGCTGCGGAAGGTTAGCAAAAGCTGGAGCAAAACGGCCTTAATGTTCTTACCCAGTCAAGGTTGGTCGGTGCGTCAAGCATCTCTTCAATCACATCCAGCGAGCCAAATGGTGATTGCATTGCATTGACCTGGTCATGGGCAAGCATGAACGAGGGGCCTTGCCGATTCTGCTCGCCGTCATACGGGGGTGGTGAAACTACAGTCCGATAATTTAGTATCTTGCACAAGCTATCAGGCTTGTTGACTTACCATCACTGGTTGTATTGAATTCGAGACCACTTGAGCTACCGGCTGGGTCTGCTGCATGTTGCATGCCTTTCTTGACACAGCGCAGCATGATTGACATCGCAGCATATGCTTTTTGTGCATCCGCCGACCGCCGGCGCATGTCCTTGAAAATCTGATGGGTTGTCTCCAGGGCTGATAGAAGGTCTTCACGGCCTTTGACGATAACTGTCACATCGTTGCTTTGACTGTTCGTTCGTGGCTCTGTGGGATGGCCAGGGGAGAGTTCTAGGCAGATAATCATGGCTGCTAGTAGGTAGTCCGTGTTTTGTATAGAATTCGGGAATTGCCTTTCGCGGTATAACTGGCCCCCAGGTTGAGTTTCGTGGTGCAGGACTGCTTGGTGTTGAAGGATCTGTTTCGCTGCGGTCATACAAACCCAGCGAGAATATGCGTATCGCATGTTGTCGTGGAATTCAGCCAGGTACCTCCGATGTAAAACGCAACGGCACTTCTGATACAAAATTTCCAGTGTGAAACGGTTGAGGATCAGGTCAGATGGGTCAGTGATTGACTGCTCCATGGGCCTGATTCGTAGGATCGACGGAATTTGATCGTGCGCTTCTTCAAGATGCCGATCAATTTCGAGCGTTTGCTCGTAGGTCACCGGTTCCCGTGAGTATGCAAGATCTGATATTCGTCCAAAGACAGACATGACTCTTCCCTTGGCCCTGGTATAGCATAGGGAAGTGCGCTCGGTTTCTGGCCGAGAAAGTGGGAGTTCTTCCGTATTCTTATCGAAATCCTGATCATATAAATTCCGCGGCAGCTCCACGTCGTGTTGCCAGGCCTGGATTGCCCGAGGTAGTCCGACTTGGAATGAAATCAAGGTGTCAAGATGGCTCACAACAGCCCACATACGTCGTCTCATTTCCCCTTCAAACGCTGATATTTTGGGGAAATTTCGGGGGTCGCGGTGGTACCCCATCCGCATGGCAAGCCTTATGGTGAGTCCGAGCATGAACGAGACCCCGACTTGGGCATCGCAACTTCTGAAGAACTCCCCCATTGTATACAGAAACAGTGCCTCGACTTTGTATCTGCCGGGGGTGATATAGTTTGCTTGGACCAAACATTGCACCGTACGTTTGCGGAATCTGGTCATGGCGACCAGGTGGTCCCCCAGTGACTGGGGTAATGGTTCCTCTATCGTTTTCAAAACTGATACTGCCAATGTAAAAACAGCATACAGCAGACCGAGCCATTCGAGAGACACTCCCTGTGGGTCTAGCCAGAATTGGTTATACTTTGTTCTGTCAGTCTTCTGTGAGCAATTGATATTTGATCAACTGACCTCCTTCTGGAACGTGGCCTCGGCCGACAAAGGTACAGGAGGCGGCCTCCCCTCTTTTCTCGCAATTGGTGCATGGATATGTCCGACAACATTTGAGTCTAGACATGCATCAGCACAAAATTCCATGACTGTGAAGCAAAAGACGTACTTTCGGCTTCTACAGGCGGTGCATGACAGTTGAACTCGGGTCCTCTTCTTCTCTTTGGTCACCATGCTCGCGTTCTGAACGTTCTGGACGTGGGGTTTTGTCGTCAAGTCGGTCATCCTGATTTCCGGGACTTGTGGATGAGAAACTGTATCAATTCACCAGATCAAGATATAGAAATGTGATTAAAAGTGATTCTGTCATCGACATGAGATGGAATGCATGTTGCCTGCTTGAACACGAGAGTAAGGGAGGATGGCGATATGGGGTTTCCGGTCTCCGACTTATCTCCGCGCCAACTGGGAACATCGTGCAAGCATCTGATTTCATTTCCACAGCCCACTCCACTCATCTTGCCAACTGCCAGCACTTTTCTCCAATGGAAGTTCCTACAGTCCTACCACAACTGCAAGACTCACTCGATTGCTAAAGCAATTTTCACAGTTCGGATCCGCCTCTCTGGTTCCCCTTCCCCTGTCTTTGAAGTGTCTAAGACCAATCAATATATCCAGCGGCTTGACCGGATGGGTACCGTTGATCTCTCCGGCATGAAAACTTTCTATTCCAACACAAGGTCGCTTTTCTAAAGAGCAGAAGTAGGGTTCTAACTCTGATACCTCTCTGCCATGACGGGACTCAAACTCAAATGCAATGCCCGAGGTGCATACGAGCCCCTGAAGGAAGGCTGCGTGGGAGATTGCTACATAGCTTGATCCATTATTCGAAACTTCAGTCCCCCAAATCCGAAAGCGGATTTTCCAAACGGGTCCGTGAGATATTCGGATATGCTCCTTGGCGTTCTTCGTCTGCATCTGCACCCAGATGTCATTGTCACCAAAGGCTGGCGAGCAACAAATATGCATCTTCCAAGGACTCGACTTGAAAACGCAAGAGCCAAGACTCGAAGGCACAAAGATACAAGGTCTGTGTCATGAGGCGTCGAGGTATCCGAGAATTCAAGTCTAGGAATGCAATTCCGTGTGTGGCGCTCAAGCTGTTTCAGCAAACCGACGTTCAAGTGATGTCTCATCTATAACCGGTGGTTCTTCTGAGATGTGCGGGATTAGTTCTCCCTTCCTCGAACGCTTGCAAGCCCACCGGTGTCCTCACCATGCACACAGACCAGCCAAGTAAGACACACAGATGGACTAAACCCTCGTCGAATTGAGATGCCGAAACTGACGTTTCACTTGATTGTCCACGACGAGGTTACCAACGGTAAGCGCAGTTAATACTGTCTCGGAACGAAGACCTTGACTGATAAAACAACCCTTCCTTCTGTATGAACAGAAGTACATACTCGCAGACTGCCGAGACAAATGCCTCTTTGGGCTCATAACGGCCCTGGGGCTGACGGAGATGCTTTCGATACGCGACCCAGGCGCCAGGTTGCCGGGACGCAACCTCCAGGTAGAGTTACATAAATAAGGAGGAAGGCCCGAAGAACGAGATATTTTGGTTGCTCTCATCTCATTGACCTTGACCTCTCGAGAGAAGATAATCATCGACTGCGGATCACAGCCCTCAATCATTCAATACAACCTGACAATGAAAGCAAATACCTGCGATCAAGAAGTGATGGGTCCTAACCAGGTCCTAACCAACGCAATCCCCAAAAATGACTCTATGCCATGCTCAAAGTACACCACACCCAAGACTGGGCTGCTCGCTATAATGCCACAGAGCTGGATCCCATATGCCGAGCTCATGCGACTGGACCGTCCCGCAGGGTACTGGGCCTTTTACTGGCACTTCGCCATTGGTCTCGCCTTGGCAGCCAGCATTTCTTCTCGGATTCCGTCCCCCCGGACCCTCATCTCTCTGTTTCTCTTCTTCGCAGTCTGGGTCATCGTACTGCGCGGAGCAGTCTGTACCTGGAACGACACTCTGGACCAGGGTTTCGACCGCAAGGTGTCTAGAACCCGAAATCGTCCCATTCCCCGGGGCGCCGTCTCCACGGCCCAAAGCCACCTCTTCACGCTCGCTCAGATAGCCGTCGGGATGGCGCTGCTTCTTCCTCTGCCGCGGGGATGCATGAATCATGCTGCACTTATGACAGCTATACTGCTGGTGTATCCTCTGGGGAAACGAGTCACAGATTTCCCACAGGTCATTTTGGGAGTTGCATTCGGGATGCCTATCTTCCTATGCGGTGCGGCTCTAGATGGCGACCCTCTCCCACTGTCGGACTTGCATCGTTTTGGAACCGAGACCAATGACCTACGCCTGGTGGCTGCGATGTGTTTCTACATAGCAAGTATCCTGTGGACGGTCATTTTCGATACTATCTACGCACACCAGGACGCCAAAGACGATGCCAAGGCGGGCGTACGGTCGTTGGCTGTCCGTCTTGGTGATCGCACGAAGCTGGGATTGTCTGTTCTCGCGGTGACACAGGTGATGTTGCTGTTCGCCGCGGGTGTAGCATGCGAGTTCTCGACAATCTATTTTGCAGGCAGCTGCGTTGGAACAGCTCTCTCTTTGGCTGCTTTGTTATGGTTTGTTGATCTGCGGCGCTCAGCGAGCTGCGCGTGGTGGTTTTGCCCGGGGTCTCATCTTGTGGGTGCGAGTATTGTGGCTGGGCTGCTGGGGGAGTATTGCTTCAAATCTTAGAGACTCACTTCTTCTAGTTCACCTTATCTAACTCCGGGGAATGACTGACTGTAATCTGAGTCGTTTGGTTGTTGGTGTACATTCCTGATTAGATGGTGATAGATTATGCAAAGATACACACGATAGAATACAAGGAGACGCTCGCGAGTCATCTCAGGTCTATATGCAACATTATGCCCACGATAGGTGGTACTTCACCAAGAATTGCCTCCACTTTTCACCCGTCAGAACATTGAACAGCACTCTGAGGCTCTTGTATAGTCTCGATGTCTCTTTCTCCTGAAGCCTTGGTGGCGAGTTGCGTTGTCGTCGTCTGACCTCCCGGATCAGAAGACCATAATGACCTGCTCGTGCTTGCGCTCTTTGGCGTGTGCTTGGCTTGACTTGAGCCAGATTGAAGTCTCGTTTGATAGACATGTCGCATCCGGTAGTTTTCGAACCAATTTCCGTGACACTCCGAATTGTTTTCGCTGAATCGTCTTACGATATACCGATCCCAGAGCGGTTTCAGGGCCGGCACGCTGCCGCAGGTGATGATGACAAAAATTTCTGATAAGGCCCAGACGGTTACGGTGTATAATCCCCCTGTTGCTTTGAGGTTAGCGCTGTGAGGCATTAGTAACAAGAAGGGTACTCCGTACATGTGAAGTCAGGGTCATTGTTGATGGAGTCCAGCTCGATGGTCTTGACAATGCCGCATATTGTAGCCCTATGATGTACGCCGATCAGCGTCTATCCGAAATAAATGCAACTAACCGAGGAATGATGCTCACATCGAACCGAGTCCCAAGAGGATCGTCAAGTTGATTTTCTTTTTGAGACTGATGTTCATACTTAAAAGAAATGTGGCCGGTATAATGGCTAGAACCGCGTCTGCCACGATATTCTCGCCTATCTTCGAATCAGTGCATCATTCTCGTCTTGTGAACTGGCCTATTGGTGACCATACTGCACATGAAATAAGCAAACTTGAGCTGCGCCGTTCTATTCCAGCAATTGGCTGAAACCCTTGGGTCCCAGTTACCCTGCACCGGGTTGAATTGGACGAAGTTGAATATACAATTCAACACATTCACGAGCGTTGTGAATATGATGAGGACCCAAACAACCCATTTCTGCCACATGTTCTGCGGTCCGATCAGACGCAGAATGAATGCGCCGATGGATGCTTTGCCTGTAGCGTATGCTATGATATGAACACTGCGCAGGATGAAATTATATTCCAGCGCCTGCATGATGGCATTCTCGTCCAGATAGTACACATGTCGGTAGCCTCCGACACTATCTTGGAGGGTAGCAATGATAATTGACCCGATGAATATCGCCTGTTGCCCCTATCAGCTCGCGTCGTCCCATGTGATCATTGTCGGTGGTTCAGTACCAGCGTCAGGAACATCAGCCAGTCATCCCAGCCGGTGGTGTGAATCATGAAGCGAGCATATAATCTCAGGAACACAATGACCGTCACTATCCCTGCCTGCGCCCACAGGATACCCATCAGTAAGGGCCCCCTGTCACGATCCCCACCTCGGGGTGGCCCGCTTTGTCCTGTCTCTAACATGAGGACAGTCGAGCTTTCCGCGACTCATTCATGAGATATCCTTCAGTTGCCGTGCACGATGAAATATGCGATCAGTGTGTGTGATAACGCTGTACCTAGAATATATGTACTGTACGCAGTGCGTGAGGTGTTGAAAGCGACATCTTTCCCTCGTACAGATGGTCAACTTCGATACTACCTTGAGGAGCAAGGTCAGCCTTAGCTAGTCTATATGTTTCTTACTGATAAAGTTCAACCAACCTGGATCCTTATGCGACTCATGTTGAAAGTGCGCATATGACTCGATTCTGATTGACTCGAAGGCATGATCCCTGGTCAAGGGCTGATCTCCCGGTAGGTCATAGCGAAAAAGATGTCAAGATGTCAACTGACTGGCAAACGGGCACAAAGACAGTGCGAATGGTATCCCAGCTTCCATGGTAGCATCTATGTCATCGAGATAGTCAAGTGGTGGCTTCACGGATGCACATTGGCTGTTCCATGGGAAGGATGGAGGAGCGAACAAAGAGGTCAAATCGGAGAGCGACAAAGAAACACAACGTTGGCTGATCCTGCTCCTATTTGGCTCGACCGACTTCCGTTTCGATCTTAAGAAACTTTATTTATCGATATCACGGTATCATTGCTCTCTCTCTCTCTCCCCCATTTAATTTCTTTGTCTCTTCTTCCGGCCGGTTTCCTTCGTCGTCAAATCATCTCCTCGCGCGCGGTCATTGCTCTCGCTCAATATGAACTCTGAGGGGAGCTCACTCGTCATCCTTTACTCAACATATTCTTAATATCCAATACTATGAGACCTATCGCTTGAAAGAGACTCTTCCCAGTTTTCACGGCCGATCTAGACCAGAGCTAGCCCCCATCTCTGCTTGCGATGACCTACAATGACGGAATCAACTTATATCGATTCTTTGAGGCTATCGACGCTCATGCATATCATACACTACTCGATAGGTACGTATCTCAGATCAAAATCGGAGGAGCAACGACCTGATTGGCTTTAGGTGCTTTATTGTGAAGCGGGCTTCGACGTATTCCTAAAAGGTCCAAGAATTGGATACTCCACTGATTCCAACCAATATTTCGTTCCTGAATTGAGACGAGCTATCAACCTTTTCAAGGATTTGAAATGTTCAACCTTGGTTGCCATAATCCCCTCCGGCTCGGGCCATCCTACACCGTACGGTCATCGAATTTGCAGCTACAAATGGCACATGATGAGCATTTCACATCTCACATGTCGGTAACTACAGAGTGAGTTTGGAAAGAAAGTCTCTCATCCATATTGGATCTTTGTGTGGTATTTCCAAGGCTTATGGGCACACCTCTGGGCCTGCTCCGGATGGTGTGCTCCTCCTGGATGGGCACCCTGTGGCTCTTTGACTGCTGTCAATACAAGTATACTGCTCTTCAAGCAGATCGAAATTTGCTGACAGGCTTGAAAAACAGCAGATCCCATTCCACGTCTTCAATGCACTCTAACAGAGCGACGTCATGATCACTTAAAGTGACCTACTTCTACTAATAGAGTTTTGGGCCTGATATTTCCTAGGCACCAATCAGTAGGATACCTTGAGTATCTATTACGAATTTGTCAAGTGTCCCACTCAAAAGTGCGATGACCTGTAAGACCGTCAAGATGTACCCAAGGACATGATCCTCCATCTGCTTAAGCTCGCGCCAAAGCTCAGCCATCCCTGGGTCACTCCTGTAGTCACTACTAGTACCCACTGCAATATATGCAATCCTTGGCCAGTCCTAGCGAGTTACTTCTATTCAATGAGGCTGAAATTTAAGTTGCCTCTGTCTCGCAGATACTCACAGGGCAATTGATGCGATTGATGGTTTAGCTCTTGATCTCCGCCTTCATGGCCACTGTCCTTCCATCGGGACCAATGACTTGCACCTTGGCAACACCATCCTCATCCTCAAGAACGACCCGATATTCATCCTCAGCATACAAAGGACTCGTCGCCCGATACGAGATACTCTGGGGAAGTACGGGCTCGGGACCTTCGCTGGTAGATGTTGACGTCCTCGTGTCGCGCCACAGATCCAGAATGTTGATGAGGTTTAGCGGGCCGTGGACGACAATATCCCTGTGGCCCTCTACGTCGCGAGCCCAAGGAAGTGAATAATGAATTTTATGTGGGTTGAACGTCAGAGCCGAAAAACGGAACAGAGTGACGGCCGTTTGCTTCATTGTTCGTGTGTGGACATTGCCGGTTGTCGAAGTCTTTGAAAAGGCCGGCCCAGAGGGTGTGATCGGGTCTGGCAGATTCGTTGATACTGATGACGATGACGGTGAGAGGGCTTTGCGAAAGACCCAGTTCCTGTTACTGTTAGTAGAGTCCAATAACAATACCTGTGGTCCTACAGCTACAGTTGTCGTTCACTGCGTCCCGGATTCTGTGCTCACCTTCTGTCCAAAACAGCTACACCATGCTCATTTCGAAACTCCTTCTCCACCCCTACGACAATCATCTCCTCACCGGTTTTACGGACAATTTTAGGCTCCGCACTGAGGACCCTCGTCGTTTCCTGGATCTCTTGGCCTACCCTCAACGGATTAGGCTTTCCGTCTGGACCGCGTGGCCATTGTACCTCGCCGCCAGCCCACATGCGCCGAGTAAACGGTGACTCGGGGTTGTACGAGATATCGGTGCCGTCGGCGCCTAATTCACTCTCCAAGAAAGCTGGAGTGAAATAAGCCAAATGGTATCCTGCAGGCAGGGGAGTACCTTGCTGCAATGGCGCCGAAGCATCGGAGAGTACTGGTGAGTTGGGGTATAGAGTCGGACGGTTGAGAGTGAGGGTTAAGAGTTGGAGCTGGTTGGAATCAAGGACTTGAGTGCGAGTCTGAGGTCCTAGGGATCTAAATCGAGAAAGAAATGAAGCGGCAATGGATGAAGCAGATTCCGATTGCGAGCACAGCTGATGATGCACTGAGAATTGGCGAACGGAGGGAGTATAACCCCTTGAGAGGAAACAGCCAAATTGGCAGGCCAGACGAGTCCTTACTGACATTTCTGCAAGGTAGACTATCTCTGCAGAGGTATGAAAAGGACTATGCCCAGTCCATGTGGTCATTGGCGAAGAAGCAACATAAATATAGGCGAGTGAGCATGAAGCCGAGAAGGCGTCTCGAAATGTGGGGGAAAGAAGGCGGACCCCGGATGCTGTCCCCGAGAACAGTCCCGGTCTCGGAATCTGTTGGTCAGCCTGGTCGGCCACTTTCCGAGTCACCGCGTCCCGTCGACTTCTCCCAGTCTTCTTCCACCCAACAGAAGCTCTCCTAGGAGTATGGGACAATTTATTGGCCCAGGTCTCATACGCTTGATTTAATATGGATTCAGGGACCTGATTTCTCAGTCTGATCGTTCCATTGGGAGGGGACCTGAGGTGGTCATGATGATCAGTTACTGGGTTGGGACGATGTGACGCGTAATGTGGAATGGCAGACATTAATATAATGGGCAGGGTGCCGACTTAAAAGGCTCTCAGCCTGCCAATCTCTCTGTTCTCTATACCTGAGATCAAGGCCAGGGTCTACCTCGCAGTCGAGCTATCTCTATTATGTTCTAGCGATGCGCCGTCCATCTTCGGAGTATGGCAGTCTCATCTCTCTATACCACATTTCGAGTCGAGGGCCTTGAATCACGGACGCCGTGCTGCTTGTACGGTATGCGTGGCATTACTCGGCATAGAGTCTAGATGTGGCGGAAAGATTTTATGCAATCAAACGCCTCATCTTGATAACAAGCATCGAGAGTGAGGAGTCAAAAGTCGGGACTCTATTGTTTATCGGAGTATCACCATGACATTCCTCAAGGCAGCTCTATGATATGGTGAATGTCACCTCCCTATGCCATACTGACTAGAATGAGCCAGGAGATTGTCGAAGTTCGAGTCTTTTGACCGAAGAATGCAGTGTCGAGTTCATCCCTGCGTGTATCATCCGAACACTCCAAGTGGCAAGAGTGCAAGGAACCGGCATGCAGACTATTGGAAAAAGCAAGGAACCGAGCAGTCTCTGGTCAATTGCATCTCCCCTTGCTTCTACGCAGACGGCTGAAGAGTGCCGTTATCATTAACGTCTTATCCTGCCATTCCCTGCGCTCTACAGGCGATTTGTGTAACCTATTCAAGGGGTCACAGGAGGTCGCAATCTAGGCCCTTTGGGCCTTCATTCTTGTCTTTTCTTGGGACATTCGGACATGAGCGTCTGTTGAAGCTGTTTGGCGACTCCATTTTAGGCATCAATGAAATACTTGCGGTGTCACGTTTGCTACCTGCACTGCGACTGTTGAGGGCCATGATGCAATTTCCCTTCTCGCCCAGGCATTTGTCTATATATTGGTCGACGAAACTGTTGGCAATCCCTTGACCTGGTAGTATATCCATCCCAATGACTATATTTTACATTTTCACAAATCTCCTTCCTCTCCGTGAGCAGTCTTTCCAATGACAGACCTCGAGCTGGGCTATGATCATGCAAAACTCGATACCAAGACCGAGGTCATTGAGGTCTCGAATGCCACCAAGTCTACTTCCTCCTTCCAAAGATGGACCGCAAGGCTCTGTCGACTCGCAGGGGTAGAGACTCAAGGTATAGAGCGAGTCGGAGTTAATTCGCGTCAACCTGCTGGTCCAGATGATTATACGCGAATCTTCCTACTCTGGCTGAACTCCTCCCTCACAGCCAACAACATCATCGTGGGCCTGTATGGACCTTCGTACTATGGCCTAGACCTAGGCACCGCATCCGTCTGTGGTGTCTTTGGTAGTATTCTGGGAAGTATCGCGGTGGCCTACATGAGTACCTGGGGACCACGCAGCGGTCATCGCACATTGGTGGTGACGCGATACTTTCTCGGCTACTACCCAAGCAAGGTCTGCTGCTTGCTCAACATTCTGACTATGCTAGGCTACGGCATGGTCAATTGCATTCTGGGTGGCCAGATCATCTTCACTATTTCCAACGGCCAGACGCCCGTCACCGTTGGCATTGTTGTCGTCGCTGTCCTGACCTGGTGCATCGCCACCTTCGGCATGAACCTCTTTCACCTCTGGTCCCGTTACGCCTGGGTCCTCTCACTCTCTGTGCTCTGTATCATGATCGGCTGCGCAGGTCCAGCATTCGATCCCGCGCATCGTCTCTCCCCCGACCTCCCCCCGGACACATCCGCGCACCGCCTCTCCTTCTTCTCCCTCTGCTTCGCCTCCGCCATCACCTGGACCCCCTCCAGCGCAGACTACTTCGTCTACTTCCCACCCAGCACCCGACCCACCCGCATGTTCCTCTCCGCCGCGGCAGGCATGGGCCTCGCCATGGTCCTCACCACAATCCTAGGCATCGGCCTGGCCACATCTCTCTACTCCAATCCCGCCTGGATGGCTGTCTTCGCCGACTCCCCAGGCGGCCTCCTGGCGCTCTCCTTCTCGGGCCTCTGCGGCTTCGGCAGCCTCTGCGCCGCCATCCTTGTCATCACCGCCGTCTCGAACAATATCCCCGCCACGTACTCGGCTGGCTTGAATCTGCAGATGCTCGGCAAGTTGGGCCCGCGCATCCCGCGGCCCCTCCTGACAACCCTCGAGGTGGTCGCGTATACCGTCTCCGCCGTGATGGCGCGCGAGTACCTGCGCGATATCATGGAGGATTTCCTCCCGCTCATGAGCTACTGGATCGTCGCGTGGTTCGGGATCGTGCTGGAGGAGATAGTCATGCGAGCGTACCGCGACAAGGGGGCATATGATTGGGAGGGGTGGGATGATGCGACGAAGTTGCCCAGTGGCTGGGCGGCGGGTGGAAGCTTGGGGGCGGGTTGCCTTGGGGCCATTCTCGGGATGGTACGTCTTGTGTTCCTTGTGCTTATGGGGGTTTCGCGTTACTGATGTTTCACAGGATCAATCGTTCTTCAGTGGGCCTGTCGCTCAGACTCTTCCTGACGGCTGTGATCTGGGGATGTGGTTAGCGTTCATATTCGCTGTTAGCGTGTACCCGCCTCTTCGGGTTATTGAGTTACGGTTCCTGGGACGGTGATCTATACCCTTCTCATCATCGAAGTGTACTGCAAATAAAAGTGGATTTGGCTATATAAACGCTCATCATAAACTATAACAATATCGTAGTCGATGAACACATCGAGGGCGAGATAGGAGGGTCGCGCAGGGTATCAAGGAAGGCAATAATTGCTACCAAGGTGGGGTGCATGGCGAAAAAAAGAATGGTATTATTACAGCTTGACATGTCCGGAATGTAACCGGTTCCAGTCCTTCTGCTCAAACGGTACGTACGTGTTCCCCTGCAGCCAGTACAGCTTATCCTTGCCGCTGACGAGCGCAGGGTCCACGCCCTCGGTGCGCAGGACATGTTTCTGCTGCTTGTTGTTGCCTGTCGCCTGCATCTCCGGCGTGACGCGGAGGAACAAGGGGGCCGCAAACCGGGGCAGGTTTTTCAGGACGTGAGTCGCAAGACTGTCGAGGACTTTCTGGGACGGCTCAGCGAGTTCAGACGGGTTAGCGGCTTGTAACTGCTGGTGGAAGACGACGGCGGCGCAGCCAGCACGGCCGTCGTGGTTGGGCAATGCCACGCCGTAGACATTGGCCTCGTGCACGTCCGGATGTGTGCCGAGGACTTCGGCCACCTCGTTCGTGGAGACGTTCTCCGATTTCCAGCGGAAGGTGTCGCCGAGCCGGTCGGAGAAGTACCACCGTCCCTCCCGGTCCCAGCGGACCATGTCGCCCGTGCGGAAGAATGCGTCGCCCTTGCGGAGGACGTCGCGAATGATTTTACCTTCTGTGGCCTTGGAGTTCTTGAAGTAGCCCTGGAATTTATCCGAGGGGTCGTTGGGGTCGATTGCGTAGAGTAACTCGCCGGGCTCGCCCTGGGGGACTTTGCGGCAGAGCCCGGTTTGCGGGTCGCGCCAGGGCTGCTGAGACTCGTGGTCTACCTCGACGACGGCGAGACCGCTGCCCAAGATTAGTTTGGTCAGGGCACCGTTTCGGCCAATGGCTCCTGCAGTGAAGTCGTTAGAGGAAAGGTTCCATGATCCGGAGGTGCCTTCGGTTGCGGCGTAGAACTCGGCAATCGTGGGAATGTTGAACCGCTCCTTGACCCGATTCCAGATGTCGGGACGTAGACCGTTACCGAAGATGGCCCGGACGTTGTGCTTCTTGTCTAGGTCTTCGCCTGTGACTGGGTCGATCTGAGGTGGCACGGCCAGGAGATATCGTAGCGTTTCACCCACATACTGAACGATCGTGGCGTTATTCTCACGGGCTTCTTTCCAGAAGCTCCTAGCGGAGAATTTACGGCCGATTATCAGCGTCGATCCGCTCATCAGACAGGACATGAAACCAAGGACGCAAGCAGAAGAGTGATATAGAGGCATGCACTGGTTTTATCAGCATTGCCACAGATGATATGTGTAAGGCAGATCAACGTACTGTGAAGAAGCGGTCCGCTGGCTTTATGCCTAACCAGTTGGTCACAAAAGTGCTGCCCGTCCAGCATTTCCTCCAGCTGACAATGGCGGGTTTGGGAAGTCCGGTAGTACCACTGGTGTAGATCAACAATGCCATATCACGCAAAACTGGGCCGCTGCGCACTTTGTCGTCCTCACGAACAGCCTCAGTCTGCATGATCTGAGCTTCCACGTCCTGCGTGAAGAACACCACCTCCACAGCACCTTTGTCCTCGCGGAAGTCGGTGGAAGCGAAGATCTGCAACTGCTCTGGCGGAAAACATTTGCGTACTTCTTCATCGACTATCAGGAGCCTGGCGGTCGACGTGCGAACCGAATGTGTCAACGGTTTTCCGGTCAGATTGTAGTTGATGAATGCCGGTACAGCACCGATGCTCCATAGACCCAGCAGGAGGAAGATGAATGTTGATGAATTCATAAAGTCCAAGGCAACAATCTCCTTTGGCTTGACGCTGTGCACTGTCTTGAACCAATTCCCATAACGCAGAGCCAGCTCGTATGTTTCGTGGAAGGTCCAGGTACGGCCATTGTAGACAATGAACGGTTGGTCTTTAGTCGACGGGGAAAGGGCGTGGTTTTCGAGGATGTAAAATAGGTTAAGGCGGTCGCGGCGCTGTGCCATGCTAGTTTTCACAGCGATCTTCAACAAACCCTTGATCAATGTCATGTCATAGAAGAGTGAGTACTTGGCGTTCAAGTAAGCCAGCGTCGTGGCGACGGCTGGGCCGGAGAGTGAGAGGGGCACATCTGAAGACGTAGAATTAGTATCACCTTTATGACAGATATCAACAATAACAGGGTCTCTAGGATCCTAAATATGACTAGACACTTCGAGTACGATCGCTTAAATGAAGACATACCTGGAAGAGACGGGATCGGAATGGGTAGCATTGTGAGGGTGAGGAGCAAGAACGACTTGACAGAACAACTGGTAGTACAACGAACAAGTCCAAGCACAATACAATCACTATGTAGAGAAGACCAGTCTAATGGGATTAGAAAGAGGGGAAATATAAGAATGAAGAGGATGTGCTGATGGGAGTGCACGAGGCGACATGTTGATGCCTCGGTTTGGCGGTTTGGCTGGATCCGGCGCGGAAACGGCCCACGCCAGAGTTATGATCACAGCTATGCAATAATAATAATAATAATAATAGTGAACACTGAACAAGCGCATTTACTCCGTAGAGCAAGTGTGGATCCTGTCTGGATATCTTAAGTATGACTTGACTTCCTGTTTTTCTCATTCAAGGCCGAAGACCGCTCAGGAGTAAGGATAGCTTGAGAGAGGTAGAGGTTCTCTTTATGCACCATCACATGTGCTCTATGTATATGCCGAGTATATTATGCCTAGGTACACACCCCTACATACAGTACACGACTATGTGCTACACCAAATATTTGACTCCCAAGTGATGAAGATTATTTCTTCTTGACCACTGGCACCTCGTCATAGCTATCTTCCATGAACTCCTTCAATGCTGCCATTCCTTTCTCCAAAGCCTCCGTCTCACACACAAAACCAATTCCGACATAGCCTACAAAGTCCTCTCCGTCACCAAAACAGAGACTGCCTGGTACAAACATGTCGCCGGTCCGCTCAAGAAGAATTTTGCAAAAAGCAACATCGTCTATAGGTTTTCCCGTTTGTTGAAGCGTACGAACGCCGTCGTGCCGGCGCGCGGCTTGAACCAGTCACACGCCCATCGATGAGATTCGATGAATTGTTCTAGGATCCCTAGGTTTTTCTTGGCCAACTCGGTCTTATGCTTCAACAAGCTGTGGATGCAGCTGGGTGAAAGGGCATAGCTTGCAATAGCATCATCCAATTGGCCGACCGAGATGGTTGTATAGTCTCAAGCAGCGGCGCAGGACTCGAGGATTGACCAACTGCGAGAAGCAATCCAACCCACTCGTAGACCTGCCAGACTAAATGCCTCGGACATTGACCCGGTTACCACAGTATTCTCGTATCCAAGGGATAGAAGGGATAACGGGGACTCCGGCTCCATCGGAGTAATGGAGTGGAAGATTGGTCGGTGCACCTCGTCAGCGTGGATGATGATGGATAATTTACGAGCGATCTCCACTATTTCTTTTAGGTTTGCTTGAGGGATGATAGCGCCGGTGGGATTTCAGGGATTACTACGAGAGCAAGAAGTGTTAGAAATACCTGCAACACAGTCGGACGTAGTGGAAAAGCATACTTGAGGATAATCAACTTTGTATTCGGTTTGATGGGTGTTTTGAGCTGACTCATATCCAACTTCCAGCCATCATTCGCCTTTGCCTTCCAGAGACTCACTTTGGCCCCGACTGATTCAGGCACCGAGTAGAGTCGTTGGTAGGTAGGGTAGTGGCAGATGGCATGATCACCAGGTCCGATCAAAGTATAGAGCAGGAGGAAGTTGGCTTGGATCGCGCCGGCCGTGATCAAGACATTATCAGCTGGTAATGCAGTGGGAGTCCTGACGAAGTAGAGATTGGCCAATGTTTGGCGCAGTTTCTCCGAACCACGAATTGAACCGTAAGTGAGTTTCGTAGAGAAGTCTACTGGATTCCATGATTTGTCCTCCGATAATTCTTTGAGGTCCTTAATGGAGATGGAGGCACAGCAAGTCTCTGCAATATCTGTATGGCTGTGGTCTCATACTCATCCATCCACTGCAATGCGAGTCAGCAGAAGCAGAGGAATGCGGGGAAGTTATAGGCTAATGATGTGTGTGTTGGACTTACTTGCTCGACGGCACGGTTTGATTTGTACCATGATGTCGGCTATATAAATGAGTTACAGTATCTGATTGTGTACAGCCACTAATAGACAATGAACTTACATGTTCACATTTCAAGTTTCAATTCCTCCGGCTTCTTCTCTCTGCGATCGCTGCTTGGATTCAGGTACAGGTCACGTGGATCGGCCTATCTCCGCATGAGGAGTTGAAGTTGATAGAAGCAGAGCAATAATCTCAGGAGATATTGATATTTCTGTCGAAAAGAACAGACATGATTGTAGGAAGATGATTGAACCCACGAGAGTAACTTAGCAGCTATGTACTCCTGCACAGGGGACACTACCCACGACTTAGAATTCTCAGGCACCACAACATCCCCTCTCTATCGCTTCTCCGCCTTTTACCCGTCCCAGCCAAGGCACCACCTTCGTCATCCGACACTGCTACTACCAGACTGGCGTGTTCCAGGTTGCACTCCAACCTCTCCGTCTCTCCTTACTCCATCTCAACGCCCTCTCCATCTTTCTTCCATATTCATCGTTGATACAATCATTAAATCTTGCCTGTTTAAAAGGCTCTGTCCAGATCGTTCTCATTTTGTTTTGATTCTCCAAATGCTGGTTGTTCTTGCTTGATATACTCGGCGGTCGGCGATAACCTTGTTGCTCCGTCTGGTACCAGTCCGCTCACGGAGCGAGAGGAAAACCTCCTTTGATTGATCTTCGCATACAGATCAGTCATCATGCGTTTGAAACCTACAGTACGGCTCTCCTTAGCCGCTCTCCTCTCGTTAAGCGCATCAAGTACGTCAGCCCGCAGCAACTACTCCCAGTCCGAGCTACTCCCCCCGCTCTTCTCGGTGCTCGATGACCGACCTCCCGAATGTCCTCCGTGCTTCAACTGCCAGCTCGATGCTTTTCAATGCGCCCAATTTGCGCCTTGCAACAGCTTCACCGGCAAATGCGTGTGTCCGCCTGGCTTTGGTGGTGATGACTGCTCGGAGCCAGTCTGCGGCTCTCTAGCCGACGGGGAGAATCGAGCGCCGCGAAAGGGTGGGTCCTGCGACTGCAAAGAGGGCTGGAGCGGTATTAATTGCAACGTTTGCGAGACGAACGATGCTTGCAATGCAATGATGCCGGAAGGTGAAGGAGGCGTCTGCTACAAGCAAGGCGTCACGGTCAAGGAGAATTACCAGATGTGCGACGTGACCAATCGCAAGATCTTGGACCAGCTCCAGGGCAGAAAGCCCCAGGTGACGTTTTCGTGTGAGGCCGACGACCACACCTGCAACTTTCAGTTCTGGGTGGACCAGAAAGAGTCCTTCTACTGCGCCCTGGACACCTGCGAATGGGATATGGAGACAGGCTACAACCAGAATAAGTCTACGTATAACTGCGAAAATATCAATTGCAAGTGCATTCCAGGACGCATGCTTTGTGGTGAGGAGGGCTCGATTGATATCGGAGAATTTCTTGCGCAGGAGATCAAGGGCCCCGCCTCTTTCAGAACATTATCCACTGAAGGTGGCAGTCCGGGGGACGGAAGCAAGTTTCAGGAGCCGGCAATGGATGACCTGATCAAGAGCGTCTTCGGGGACCCTAGTATTTTTTTGAATTGTGATGCTGGCGAGTGCTTGTATCGTACAGATGTCCCAGGGTATGCGCGCCCGATCAAGCAAATCAATACCCCTCTGATTGCTGGTGTGATTGCGGGTTGCGCCCTCTTTGTCGTGGCCGTCATTCTGGGTGTGTGGTACCTCTCCCGCAGATCCTACCATGGACGAATCTATCTTCCTCTATCCGACGACTCGGATGATGAGGCCTCCAGACTTCTTGCCGATCACAAGCCCGCGGCCTTGTACTGGGATAATGTGTCTTACTACCTCAACGGGAAGGAAATCCTCTCTGGCATCCAAGGCGCTGCGCACCCGGGTGAAATTACAGCGATCATGGGAGCATCCGGTGCAGGAAAGACAACCTTCCTGGACATTCTGGCTCGCAAGAACAAGCGGGGTGCGGTGCATGGCGACTTTTACGTCAATGGAGAAAAGCTCAGTGATCACGACTTCAAGAGCATGGTCGGCTTTGTCGACCAAGAGGACACTATGCTGCCAACGCTAACCGTGCATGAAACTATCCTGACCAGCGCGTTGCTGAGACTCCCTCGGGATATGAGCCGAGCTGCTAAAGAACAGCGTGTCTTTGAAGTCGAAAAGCAGCTTGGAATCTACCATATTAAAGACCAGTTGATCGGGTCTGAGGAAGGCAGAGGCCGGGGCATTTCTGGTGGAGAGAAACGCCGAGTTGGCATCGCCTGCGAACTCGTCACCAGCCCGAGCATTCTCTTCTTGGATGAGCCTACCAGTGGATTGGTAAGAGTCCCAGGTCTGCTGTGACCACAATCCTCATTTGTTTATTTACTAATGGTTCTACACAGGACGCTTTCAACGCTTTCAACGTGGTTGAATGCCTGGTTACTCTGGCCAAAACCTACAATCGCACAGTCATTTTTACTATTCACCAACCGAGGTCGAACATTGTGGCACTCTTCGATCGTCTTATTCTCCTAGCTCAAGGCAAGACCGTATACTCGGGCCCATTCAGCACATGTCAGCAGTATTTCGACAATTCAGGCTACTCCTGTCCCCCCGGCTTTAATATTGCGGACTACCTCGTGGATCTTACCATGCATGCTAGCGTCACCCGGTCACATGAAAATGGAAATCAGTCGTCCTTCTTGGACATGCCACCCCCGAAGACTGCCTCGAGTAGTTTGAGAGCGGTGAAGTCGGTTGCGAGCGCCTCCAACGCGAGCATCGAGGACAGCGCTGAGTCCAATCGACGCCCCAGGAGTAAACGACAGATTTCTCTCAAGCAGCGACAGGATAAACAGCTATACTCTCGTAAAAAGGACCATGAGACACCACCGACACCGAAGACCGATGAGGAAGACGCTGGTGAAGTGTCGGACAGCACTCAGCAATGGCTTCGCCTCTCCCGGCAACAGGGCCATGTTCCACCCCAGGTTCTGGATGACCCTGATCAGCTGCCACCTGCTGCCCCTGGCCCAACCGATCTTGACATCCTGGTCGCCAACTATGCCTCCTCTGATGTAGCTCGCTCGGTTCATGATGAGATCGTTGCGGCCGTTCAGAAAGCTCACGCCGCGAACGGTTCTACCAACGCGGAGATCATGTCAGGGGCTGCTACAGGTCATGCAAAGAGTTACCCAAGAGTCAGCCTTTTGCGCCAGTTTGTTATACTCTCTCAGCGGACATGGCGCAACTTGTATCGGAACCCGATGCTGATGCTTACACATTACGCGATCTCGATCCTCCTGGCCGTGCTGTGTGGATATCTCTTCTATGGCCTGACGGACGATATCAAGGGCTTCCAGAACCGCTTGGGTCTTTTCTTCTTCATCTTGGCTCTGTTCGGATTCAGCACGCTCACCAGTCTGACGGTCTTCTCCACGGAAAGGCTTCTGTTCGTAAGAGAGCGGGCCAATGGCTACTATCATCCCATTACCTACTTTGCCGCCAAGGTGGTTTTCGACGTCGTGCCCCTAAGACTGATACCTCCGATCATCATGGGAATCATTGTGTATCCCATGACCGGACTGATTCCTGCTTGGGGAGAGTTCTTCCGCTTCATCCTGGTGCTTGTGCTCTTCAATCTGGCTGCGGCTAACATTTGCCTGTTCATCGGTATTGTCTTCCGTGACGGAGGCGTGGCCAACTTGATCGGAAGTCTGGTCATGCTGTTCAGTTTGTTGTTTGCCGGTCTTTTGCTCAACCATGATGCGATTCCCAAGTCTGCATTGTGGCTCCAGACGGTAAGTTTCCACCCTATCTTACTCCCAGAAGTTTTTTTGAGGAGAGAAATGCTAACATGCCACTCACTAGCTGTCGATCTTCCACTACGGTTTCGAGGCACTGATTGTTAATGAAGTGACCTTCTTGACGTTGATTGACCACAAGTATGGGCTAGACATTGAAGTTCCTGGTGCCTCCATCTTGAGCGCATTTGGGTTTGATACCCTGGCGTTCTGGTCGGATGTCATCGGACTGGCCATCATCTCGGGGGCATTCATCGTGATTGCGTATGGAGCGATGCATTTCTTGCTTGTCGAGAAGCGGTAGATAATTTGGCTATTTCACCCTTTGTCGGTTGCTGTTCCTTTTTGCGATGCATAATCATTCATCCGTTGTTATGATTGCTTGTGATGTTTAGACGGACATATGTGTCTCTTCCTTCTGTTTTAGGGATGGATTTTCGTTGGAATGATACGCTGGATGTATATATACAGTTGCTGAACAAATCTCGTGCTTACTCGATCGAAGACGCCCGATGTGGATGGAAGCATGTGTTTCCTAACGTCATTGTTTGACAGTGAGAATCAGCTTCAGCTATGCTGATTGTAAGCGTTGTAGTAGTAGTCTTAGGAGTTTATCTAAATGAGTAGAGGAATAGCTATATGGACCTCTGATTTCATATTTAACATGATTACTTGAGTACCTATCCATCTGCGTGGACATCCTCCCCCGACTGGTTATATCATCACTCCGCACACAGAACCACCACCACAGCTCCAGCCTCCTGCGTCAGATTCTTCTCTCCATTTGCTTAGGTCATTCTCGTGCTGTGATATCTCAACACTGAACACTCCGAACTATCATCACTCTGATCATCTCTTCTAACTCCTAACCCGGAATCATTCGCGTTATCACAGCTTCCAGTCTAGGCTTCTTTCGGCCTCACCGCCCACTCGGCTTTTCTGGACAGAAGAAGAATCCACCCCCAACTCTACTCTCTCCCCTCCACAGTCCACAGTCCACAGCTCCAGACCTTATTTCCACCAGCCTCCCCCCGTCTGCCTGTGAGCTTCGAACTCTAGCTCATCCTCATCTTCTTCCTCTCCATCGCCCTCTCTTAGAAGGAATCCAATCAGCAACATGTCCGGTGAAGCGTGGCTCTACCTGTTGGCGGTGCTCATCAACGCCGTCAACCTGTTTCTGCAGGTCTTCTTTACTATCATGTACAGCGATCTGGAATGGTAAGTTTGTCACATTGGATGCTCTCAGGCACCGACCCTAGTTTGCGATCTCTGGAGTCGATTGCGACACACAAGCTAATCTGGTTACTCGCCGCAGTGACTACATCAACCCCATCGACCTCTGCAACCGTCTCAACGCCTACATCATCCCCGAAGCCGCAGTCCACGCTTTCCTCACTATCTTGTTCATGATCAATGGCTACTGGCTCGCGCTCGTTCTCAACCTTCCTCTGTTGGCGTTCAATGCCAAGAAGTATGTTTCGTCCGGATAGGAGCCCCGCGGGAATTGGGATACCAGGCTAACCCGGCGTTTTGTTTCTAGGATCCTGGAGAACCAGCACCTTCTGGATGCGACTGAGATCTTCCGCAAGCTGAACGTGCACAAGAAGGTAGATAGGCACTTGCATCTCGCACATGAAGAGGGTCAGCTAACGAATGACAAAAGGAATCCTTCATCAAGCTGGGCTTCCACCTCTTGATGTTCTTCTTCTACCTCTACAGCATGATCGTTGCTCTGATCCGCGACGAATCCCACTGACTTCGTGACAAGACGGAGTATGCGATGCGTTACGGCCGTTCCCCCTGAGGAGTCACTGATGCGTTTGCTGTCTTTGCTCGTTCCGGGGAGGAAGTTAGATCCCTAGTCCTCAGTACCTTGCTGTTGAGTGTCGATGCGTTTGCCTCGTCGAAGACCTGTCCATGATCAGTGATGAAACTCTGACGGGCAGACATGCACGACGGGGCGACTGCCAAGATCCAAGCAGCGGGTATAAGATGCAATGTTGGGTGATGTCAATGATTGTACGAGGTGGTGGTGATGATAGATGGGTTCTTGGTCCTGGCCACCCGCTTTTGGTGATAGTCAGAGAGAGGATGTATGGATGAAGATTTGGCCAAGATGCCATGATACTGTAATTGTTGCTTGTGATGTTTCTGCTATTTTTCATGCTGTTGATGTCTGTAATGCTGTATATACCTCTCGAGCGGCTTGACAATGAAGAGCGTACGATACCCTCCGGGTGATGTAACTACCAGGAAAATATCAGAAAGACCTAGAGTATGCACGCTAATTATTTGATGCCCAATACGAAGAATAAATCATGAGTTGTGTAGTTGTGGTTGTGTGGTTGTCCTCATCCGTCCTCCGTCGTCTTCGCTGGTGGTTGTTTCGTCGCCCGTAAAATTCCAGACTCGCCGACCCTCTCTCTGTAGCTGCTTGATCTTCACTTTTCCCAGAACCACCGACAACCATCCACCGTCCGACGCAGTTTGAGACTTTTATTTACTCTCATTCCATCGCCGGAAGGATATATTTCCAACATGGCATCATTCTTAGGTGCCGCCTACGACTCCAGCGACGATGACGCCACAACGCCCCAGGTCGCAACAGCGACACCAGCGCCCAAGGTCGTCGCAGCGCCCGAAGTGAACACAGAGGTTTGGTCCCTTGAGCAGCCAGATTTTCTTCTTATCCTTGCAAAAATTTGGTCACCTCTTACCTCAAGGCTATAGATCTAACAATCCCACAGGATTCAGTGCACATGCAGATGATGCTGGCCAACACCACATCCAACGCCCTCACGTACAACGCAACATATGACGATCTCTCGCGGCCGTCGCAAGGGCCCGCGAACCCCTTCAAGCCCGCCGGCTCCGCCAACGGCCTGAAACGCAAGAACGTCCCGACCGGATTCGCCGAAGAGGCCGCCATCAGCGAGGCAACGTTCGCCGCGCAGCACCGCACATTCCAGAGTCTGGGATACACGCGGAACCCCTCGGCGCCCGGCCAGTTTGTGGGGAATCTGAATAGTGCGGCAGAACATGGAGGCCGAGACGTGATCCAGATGAAGCCGTCCAAGGAGGTGTCTGCGGCGCTGCGCGCCAAGCGGCAGAAGAAAGGCGACCCCAGCATCGTCGAGGGCGAGGGCGCGTACCTGGGACCCTGGGCAAAGTATCAGGACGACGACCACGTATATGAGGAGGAAGCCGCCTTAGCGGATCAGGAGCTGGGAACGGATGAGGAGTTTGTGGAGGAGGAAGAGGAGCTTGCGCCGGCACACATGCCCGCCATGAGCAAGGCGGCGACCGAATACCAGGACGACGCGTCCAAGGTGGAAACGACCGAGTTCCACGGCACCGAGCAATTCGACTATCTGGGCCGGACGTACATGCATGTTCCGCAGGACCTGGACGTCGACCTGCACAAGGAGGTCGGCAGCATCAAGAACTACGTGCCCAAGAAGCTCATCCACACCTGGAAGTCGCACACCAAGGCCATCACCTCGCTGCGCTTCTTCCCAAGCTCCGGCCACCTGCTGCTCTCGTCCGCTGCAGACGGCAAAGCTAAGATCTGGGACGTGTACCACTCACGGGAGCTCCTGCGTACCTTTTCGGGCCACTCCAAGGCGATCACAGACACGGACTTCCACCCGTCAGGCAAGACCTTCCTGACCGCCTCCTACGACCGCCAGATGAAACTCTGGGACACAGAGTACGGCAAGTGCATCGCGCGCTTCTCAACCGGCAAGACACCGCACGTCATCCGCTTCAACCCAGGCGCCGACCACTCGCACGAGTTCCTGGCCGGCATGTCCGACAAGAAGATCGTGCAGTTCGACACCCGCTCCGGCGAGCTGGTCCAGGAATACGACCACCACCTGGCCGCCATCAACACCATCACCTTCGTCGACGACAACCGCCGCTTCATCTCCACCTCCGACGACAAGTCCCTGCGCGCCTGGGAGTACGGCATTCCCGTGCCCATCAAGTTCATCGCGGAGCCGTACATGTTCGCCCTGACGCGCGCCGCGCCCCATCCAAACGGCAAATACGTCGCGTTCCAGTCCGGCGATAACCAGATCGTCGTGTACGGCGCCACGGACAAATTCCGGCAGAACCGCAAGAAGAGTTTCAGGGGTCACAATAATGCCGGGTACGCCGTGGATGTGAAGATCTCGCCCGATGGCCAGTTCATCGCCTCCGGTGACAGCGGCGGCTACGTCTGTTTCTGGGACTGGAAGACGGGCAAGATGTATCACAAGATCATGGCCGGTGGGAAAGAGGGCGGTGCCACCACGTGTCTGGACTGGCATCCGCAGGAGACGAGCAAAGTGGTTACGGGTGGATTGGAGGGCGTCATCAAATACTGGGATTGATTTTTTGTTAGGGTCGGTTGCTGGCATGGCATGCTATCTGTATATATCACTAGAACACGGTTTTGCATGGCATGTCTTCGAATTGCCGAAGAGGATATGATGCTTATCCACCTAATCTATCTACCATTACCCGTAAGATGCAGACCACTCGTAAGCACATATTTTCCTTCCTTATATGATACAGCAGTCTCAACGAGAGATACAAAGGTTAAAAACTAGCCATTTCAATCCAGCTAGCCACAAACGCCAACCTGCGTCCCCGGTCCGCCGCCATCCGGCGAGAAAACTCCTCAAAGTTGAGCTTCGCGCCAGTGCCGCCGCGCTCTTTCGCCTCCCGCTCTATCTGGTTCAGGTACGCCCAGCGAGAAAGCGTAAGCGTGGACGGAGGAAGCGTGGGACCATGACGTCGCGGGAGGGAGGACGATGGAGATGCAGCACGGGGAAGAGGTTGGATAGGTGAAGGGGGCATCTTGGGTGCGGTGGCTTCGGCATCTGGCGAAGAGGCTGGTACGGAGGATGGTGCAGGGAAGGCGGTGCTACCCGGTTGGAGACGGAGCTCCGCCGGGAGATCCTGCTGCTGTTGCTGCAGGTCGGTTTGCGGGAGAGAAGTCACAGGGACGAAGAGTGCGTTATCTAATTCTGGAACCGGTAGGCCGAGCACTTCATGTGGAGGTTCTCGTTCTTCGTTCGGTCGGTACTGTGGTAGCGTCGGATCGTAGTCCGACATCTCGCGGAGTGAGCTGGCTTCTGTCGCTGCCTGGAACTCCGGCGTCAAGGAGCGCAAGGGCTCATTCGCAGCCGCGGTTTCTTCGACCCTATTCTCGACTGGAACGGAATCAACCGAGCCGTCGTCGTCTTCAGGATCGGCGAGATGCACAGGTTGTACGTCCTCATCAGGGCTCCCCAGGGTTGGACGCACAGATAAAGCGGAGCCAGGTTGAACAGGCTCCAATTGTGGACTTCTCAAAGAATAACCAGACCGATTCAGGAGTTCCTGGAGTTCCTCGTCGGTTGCTGTCAACGAATGAGAGTCATGTCCACCTTCCTGGGCCAACCGTTTCTTGGGGTCCATCATCTCCGCAAGTTCGATCTCGCGAGCCCAGATTTTGCGCTCTGTGCGAGTCCGATAAGCCTCCATGAGCAAATCTTCCTTCGGTTTGAACAAGATGTCAAGAAGTTCGTTGAACCCCTGCTGCGTTACCTGGTACAAAATCTCCTTCCCGACGTCTTTCTCGACCTCGGGGATCTCAAAGCCGCCCCACCGCTCGCCTACAGGGATACTGCGAGACGAAGTAGAGGGATTCGACCTGACATCGTAGTCATCAGTGAGATCGTCCTGAAAGCGCACCTTGGACGACGACCGAGAGCGGGGGGATGGGGGGTGGGAATCGAGAGCTGAAGGCTGGCCGGGCGCATCCTCATCCTCGGATAGATGGTCAACATCAGGATCGCTCACATAGCCTTCGGGAGCAGTGGCACCATCTTCTAAATCCGTGTAGAAGGCCCTCCGTCTCCAGCGCTCATCAATGCCATCCCTGCGGACGTCCGTCAGGAGTCTGTGGTGGTCATCACGCATTCTACGAAAGACGACATCAGCAACGCGTTCTCTGTCCTCAGGGTCGGTGACCTCTTGAAGAGGGATAGGAGTCCCGAGAGCGTTAACAATATCTTGTTCGAGAATGTTTTCTGCGCCGGGCCAGTCGCTAGCCATTGAAGAGCTGGACCCATCCTCGTCGGAGCTTGCGTCTGCGTCGTTCTCTTGTGCATCTCTTGCGCGAGAAACATTTGAATCTTGGTGCCCAGAATCTGCGACAGCCGAGTTTTGCACCGGTGCTGCAAGTTGTGCGGGGAACAAAGGCCCTCTGGATCCCCATCTGGCCCGGACAGCTGCCTCACCTACAACAGCGTGCCGGTCACCGGTGTCGTTGCCATCTTGACGTAATACACCGTGGTTATCCACAATTTCAAGATCTCCCGCCGAATTCAAGCGCTTCCCTTCCCCGATCCTTGATGGCTCCCCGGAAGGAATGCTGCCAGGGAACGCCGAGCTGACGGGCTGACTTCCAAGAACGACATCTCGTGCCCCTCCCTCCAGGAAGTCATCTTCCATACCAGCAATCATGTCGCGAGTTAGCTCCCTGCTGAGAGCGTAGTAAGCACGGAAAACCCGCAAGAAATCCTTGCGCTCCACGTAGCCGTCTCCATCAATGTCGTAGCCACGAAAGACTCGCCGCAACCTTTCATCATTGCTCTTGTTATTTAGGCTGGCCAAACCCTTGAGGAATTCCTCGAACCCGATCAATCCATCATTGTTCGTGTCATAGAATGCGAACATACGGTCGTAGATGAGGCAGGGGGGCGGAGGACGGATGGAAGTATGCGGCACAAAACACCGATCAAACGTTTTGCGATCGATTGCCATGTGCAACTTGTTCGGGTCGTCTGCCCACTCATAACTCGCTAAGCACCGGAATTGGTCCCAGAGAGCATCCAACTCTGTGTTCTCGAAGTTGGTCTCCTTCATCAAACGCTTCGCCAGCGCGCGTGGCAGGCTACGAGGCAGCATCGCTGGCTTCCCCGGGTACCAGACCGGCTGCGACTGCCGAGGATTCCCTAGGAAGGGCGCCGGGATTCGGACCTTGTAGAAGAGATGAGTTTTGATGTGCACCTGCATCGCTTCACACGTCTCGCACAGGTCGTAGTCAATGCAATTTGCGCACCGATACCGTATACCTTGAATAGGCATGGCACCGCAGCTATTGCACGTCACCCCTCTGTGGATATAGCCGTCTCGCCTCGCCTGATCCTCCGCAATGTGATATAGCAGGTTCAAGAGATTCTGGCCTTCCTGCGCCGGAGACGACTCGTTATTCCCTTCCCGCCAGGAGAAGACGCTCTGATCGTCGACCACCGTTTCACCACCATCCAAGTTCTGCAAGGGCACCGACTCCTCGGGAAATGTAGATGTAGACAGCGTAACCCTCTCTCCATTCTGGCGCCGCCGTCGCAGCTCCTCGCCGTAGTTGTCGTCCTCATTGAACCGTGCCAGCGCCCTCTCGATCCCTGTCCGCGAAATCCCCCGCCGCTGCAGCTGCTCGATAAGATAATTCCTCTCCGCACTCCCTTCCTCGATTGTATGGGCCGACGGGAAGTCCAGAGCGAGGAATGACTCCAGGAATGTCTCCTCCATCATCTCGCGCATCCGCTCGGCATGGGCCTGTGGGACGCCGACTTCCTCCATCAGCTGATCCCGCGTAGCCAAGAGGGATGGGAGGAGGCCGCTCTCCACGCGGCGTCCATCCTCAGTCTCAATGCGAAAGGTGCCGTACACGCCATTCTGACGTTCTAGTTGCTCTAGATGAGCAATCGCGCGGTACGATGGTGTATTGCTGGCATCGCCTTCATCGGGTTCGTTTCGTCTTCGGCGGACGGCTCTTCGGCGACGTAGGGGGATTTGTGGAGATGAGGGGAAAAGGATATGATTGTGAATATATACAAGAGCGTAGGCTGCGGCAACACCTGTGAGCAGGTAAAGAGCAGGACGATACCGTGTCAGTGAAACTGGTCGTGATTGGGACTCCGACATGACGGAGCTGGGCGGCTTGCAACTGCTGCAGAGATTAGGAGGTTGACATCATTATCATCACAGTTCGTCAAAATAGGAACAGAAGAGTAGGTACTAAACAATATGAGATGATGCGTGAGGAGCGGATAATGAAAGCTTTCGCATAAATATAGCTAGATAGCTGTGTTTGTAGGGAAACAGTAGCGGCGGCTTTGATCGGCCACTGCCTCGACCGCCTAGAAAGATTGGAACGATTCTCGTCTCTCCGGAATCAATGGAAATGACGCATAGATCTGCCCGATCGAAAGCTTCTACATTCGATACGATGATAAGGTGAATTGAACAGAACCAGACAATGAACAGCATGCATTTTTGCCCTGATTTCGTCACAGGGTTTGTGAGGTACGAGGTTTCTATATATCGTCATCGCGTCTATCGACATCTACTGAAAGCCAGATAGATATGCACAAATTCCCGATCGTCATCGTATATACCGTCAACTAGGCGTCTTCTCAATCGTTCCATGCCATCAATTGATCCACTCCAGGAACCACGATCGAGTTTCGATCACCGACTCAGCTTGCTCTCTCGAATGAAGAAGCTGCTCACGAGAGCGAAGAAGACGACGCCAACCATAAAGGCAAACCCCTTGTTAGTAGCCGACCCGTAGCAACCTCGCACGATCCTGCCAACCGTAGGATCGAGAGTTTTGATGTAGTCCAGACTCTGTCTTACACCTTCGACAATACGATCAATGTCTTTGCTATCACGCAAAGCGAATCTGAGCTGATTGCGCAGGACCTGTTGAACCACGGTGGAGGATAACGACACACCAATAACTGAACCTAGGGAGCGGAAAAGGTACGAGCAGGCAGTAACAACGGCCTGGTCCTCGGGTGTCGCGTTTGAAACTAAAACATCAGTTGAACAGAGTCTCGAGGGTAGCAAATGAGGTAGGGAACACTCACTCAAGGCAATTAACGTGGTTGTGACACCGATCCCGTTCCCAAAGGCACAAAGCACCATTCCTACGACCATAGGGATAAGGCTCTGGGTGACCGCACCCGTGAAAAGGTAGATGGTGCCCAGGCCCACTGTCAGGAGGCCGTAAGCAATGACGGTTAGCCAGTAGTACTTCCCTGTCCATTTCATGACATAGCCAGCGAATAGAGAGCCCGAAACACCGGCCACGATACTCGGCAGGAGGCGCAAGCCAGAGATCGTAGCAGACACGCCATCGACAGCTTGAAAGTACAGAGGAATGAAGAAAAGCCCCGCAAGCCAGCCGCCAAAGCTGAAAAAGTTGCAGCTGTAGCTGGCGAAGAAGGTTCGGTTGAAGATGATATGACCAGGGGCAAATGGCTCAGCGGCGAAGTAGACCTCGATCACTACAAAGAGTACGAACATGGCGAGAGAGGCACTCAGCGACGTAATGGTCAACGGCATCATCCAGGAGACGTTACTGCCTCGATCAAGGCCAAGGAGGAGGCCGACTACGGCTCCAACGAGCGCAAAAGCTCCTGGAAAGTCGATGCGGCGCAACTTGGTTTTCCAATGGCTATCCTCCTGAACAGGCAGGTCTAGCATGATCCACACAGCCAGGAACGCAAGAACACATAGAGGAACCTGAGCGAGAAAGGCCCTGAGAACATTGTTAGAACAACACACAATCTTGAAGACTGGTCTTATCATGAACATACCACCGCCAGCCAATATAGTCGGCCAGTATTCCTCCTGATCAAACGTCAGCAAAAATAGCTTCAAGTTAAATCGAAGTAACTTGTACCTAGTGGAGCACCCGTTCCCGAGCCAGTTGCATAAATAATGTTGATGATGCCTTGCCAGACTCCTCGCTCTCGAAGGGGAACGATATCACTCATCAGGATGCTGACAACAGTGGTCATGCCGCCCCCTCCGATGCCTTGGAAAACCTTGATGTCTCATCAGCATCATCCAGATCTCACAGTCATTCTATGGGCCGACTTACACGAGCAGCGATCAACTCATGGATGTTTCGCGCCAGACCGCAGAACAGACAACCAAGACCGAACACGAAATACGAGAATAAGAGACATGCTCTTCTGCCAAAGATATCGGATAACTTGCCGTACAATGGTTGAAAGCTCGCCAGAGTGATGAAATAAGAGGTAGCCACCCAACTGGTCAGATTGAGGGCTTTCAGGTCGGAGCCGATCTGTCCATAACTGGCCACAATGATAGTCTGATCGGCCGCTGACAGGAAGATCTATTTCCAGCAGCGTCAGCAACAATAATATTGCCGTTGTAGCTCATACGAAATCAAGACTTACACCAATGGAAACGGCAGGTAGAATGTATCGAAGGTTGTGCCTCGGCGCCAGGTCATCCTTGAATTGATCCGCCTCAGGATCCCGAAGGATATTGTTGGTAATTGCACCATCGGTGGGAGCATTGCCACTCTGCGTTCCCAGCAAAGGGGAGGTCTCTGTCGGATTTCTCTCTGGAGACATCTCCTGAAGCCTGGTAAGTACCACAAGAGAGTGAAACGAGACATAATGCAGATCAGTCCTTGATGAGTGAGTCGAAAGCAAGCAGCAAAGTCACGTGGTGATAAGACGTGCCCACTAAGTCACGATGACAAATCCAAGCGGATCCGGGATGGAGTAATTTATTTCAACATGATTGGTTGTTTCGGCAATCTCAGACTGTCCCGTCGCCGTCCGGCTACCCACCTTCCTGATCAGGTAGATACTTCGGTTCTGACTTCCATTAGGCTAGTTCCACTGACTATCAACAATAACGTCGGCTTATCTATTAATATTGTCTTTGGACTTCTACACCACATGCAAGTATTCGGACGGATTGATTGCAGTCCATCGTAGAAATCTCAATATTGTCTTAATTGGACAGAATCATTTGTGTCAGTAATGAAAATTGCTTTTCAGCACAAGCGGTCCGTGCGTCAAAGAAGGACAATACAAGCGAACTACTACTATGCCGATGGCATATTCTACCCCAGCAATCACGCCTTCAAAGAATTGACTCACTTCCTCAGCTATCTGTAAGGTAGAAGGACTACATGTGTCGTACAGCGGCTTCGTTCAACAGAGCGTATCACCAGCATAAAATTAGTCTCATGATCTATCAGGTATTGAGTTGAGACATAACCTCAAGTCGTGAATGCTTTTAGTCATGTAGGGTACAGATAATGCACATCAACTCTCGGCCGTCTTCGCATCCTCAGTGACCGGCATGGGAATGGGTCCACCGGGCGAATCAGGCAGACGAGCAGTCAGAACTTCCACACCATCCTCAGTGACGAGAAGAGTATGCTCAAATTGCGCAGACAAGGAACCGTCCGCCGTAGTGCTGGTCCAGTCATCAGGCCACGTCCGATCACGGTGAGTACCGATGTTGATCATGGGTTCGATGGTGAAGCACATGCCAGGCTTGGCCGTTCCGACAGCCTTGTTCTTTGCGTAGTGGGGAACGTTGGGAGCACAGTGGAACAGCTGGTTGATGCCATGGCCACAGTAGGTCTTGACCACACTGCAGTTCCGGCTCTTTGCAAGCTTTTCAATGACGTTGCCTGGTTCTCTGAAGAGCATGCCGGGCTTAACCAATTCAATCGATTTCTCCAGGCATTCTCGAGAAGTTTCCACAACGCGAACCGCGTCTGGGTTCGCACGAGCCTTATCGCCAACGTAGTACGTCTCGTTGAGATCGCCGTGGAAGCCATTGTGATACAGGGTAACGTCAATGTTGATGATGTCTCCATCCTCGAGGGGGCGCTGGTCGGGGATGCCGTGACAGATTGTCTCGTTGATGGATGTACATACGGATTTAGGGAAATGCATGTAGTTGAGAGGCGAAGGATAGGACTGCCGACGAATTAGAATGGGACCATTTCCTTTGCTCTTTCAGAACAACAACGAAGTCACTTACATTACGCTCTAAGCATGCCTTGTGCACAACCTCATCGATGTAGTCGGTCGTAACACCTGGTCTGACCTCCCGAGCGGCAATGTCCAGCACCTCTCGAGCCAGACGGCAGACCTTCCTCATTCCTTCTTGCTGTTCCTTATTCAATATGGTGATGTTGTGACGACCGACAAACTTCTGCTCTGACCGAGGGATACCATCTTTGGCGTAGTCGGGGTGAGGGATCGACTTGGGAACCGTTCGCATGGGAGACAGAGGATAGACAGGTCTCAGAGATCCGGTGAATTGGAACGAAGGGAAAGGGTTGAAATGTCCCGTGGCTGGATCAGGTTCAGAAACTACCTTTGGAGGGAAGAGGTTGGACAGGATATTACTCTTCGATTTGTGGATGGCCTTGTGCTCACTCTGATCGGACGAGTCAGTACATAACAGACAATAAGACTAGAGCAACACACGTGGACCTTATCGGTCACGCAAGGCAGCCTACCCAGCTCCGCTTGAAACAATCTTGCGAGCAGAAGAAGCTATCGGTGCCCATCTTCAAGCAGGTTGGACACTGCAAACTTCCGGCATTGTTCTCGCATTCCACACCCATACATTTCCGGGTCGCAACTTCAGCTGCCATATTGGCGCACAATGGAACAGTCAATGGAGAAATGAGAGACGTATTTACTGAAGAAGGCGAAAGAGGGGAAGGGTAAGGGAACTTGGGTATCTTATCCTCAAAGGCGATATAATTTGATGGTAATGCGTCGCAGGCGGCAGCAGGAAAAATTACCGTAAGTTATCAAGTTTATCAAAAACACTAAGCCATATTTGTCTTAGCGCATGACCGACCCAACCATATCCGAAAGGAGACTAGTGCAGAAGCGCGACCATTACATTGCGGAGGCTGAGAGTTTAAATTCCAGATCGGGTAAGGTCCAACCGCGCTTTTCCGACCGTAGATCGTTCTCCCAGACTCCCAGTCCCAGATGAGACGATATGACGCATCGTATGAGCTCGCAGAGAAGCAGCAATACTTTCACAAGAAGTGTCAAATAATCCTTCTCTGATAGATCTCTCAAGCCGTGGCCTCGTTCATCATGGCGGATACTGTACGGAAGAAGCAAAAGCTTGTTGTCGTCGGAGCTGGTCCGGTGGGGTCGCTGGCAGCTCTGTATGCCGCAGCCAGAGGTGATGAGGTCGAAGTCTATGAATTGCGTGGAGGTAGGTTCTTATCTTTTCATTGAAATTGGCAATGTTTGTACAATGGCAACACAGTTCTGAACATGACTGTGTGTACAATGTACGATGTACAAACTGATGCTTTGTGCTACATTCCTACCTTGCACCTGGTATGCATAGCCGATGATGTTGCACCTTGCTTCCATATCCATCCCTGCATGCTGCAGCTGCTGATCAAGTGATAGATCTTCGTGATCCTTCGACAATTCCACTGAATTTCACAAAGTCCATCAATTTGGCTTTGTCTGAGCGTGGAATTACCGCCATGAAGCACTCTAACCGGGAGGACCTCATCAACAACGTCCTCCGAGGCACGATTCCAATGTATGGACGGATGATCCACGGCAGAGACCACGGGCGACTGTGGGAAGCTGCGCAGGCATACGATGTCCATGGCCGTGTAAGTAGTTTCCATGCTCATATCACGTGAGCCATTACCAACACAACCAATAGGCCATCAATGCTGTCGACAGAAGTACCTTGAACAATGCGCTACTCGATGAGCTGGAGCGCACACCTAATGTGAAGCTCTTCTTCAATCATAAACTGACCGGGGCCGACTTCCATGCGCGCAAAGCGTGGTTCGAACGTCGTTTGCCCGGCGAGGCTCCACTTCCAAACTCTGCGAACCGCGTGCCAGAGATCGAAGTGGACTTTGACTTCATGATCGGAGCGGATGGAGCTCATTCCGCGGCAAGATACCACATGATGAAATTTGCCCGGGTGGATTATCAGCAGGAGTACATCGATACATTGTGGTGCGAGTTCCGCATTCCTCCAACCGAGGATGGCGACTTCCGCATCTCCCCCAACCACCTGCATATCTGGCCTGGAAGGGAATTCATGTTCATCGCCCTCCCATCCGCAGACAAGTCCTTCACATGCACGTTGTTTGCGCCCGCCGCGCACTATACGCTTCTAGGAAGCTCGCCGCAGAAATTGGTCGAGTCCTTCAATGACCATTTTCCCGGGGTTTGTCCGGAACTCATCTCTCCGGACGATCTGCAGGAGCAGTTCGCGACCAACCCCCACCTTCCTTTGATCAGCCTCAAATGCAAGCCTCACCATTATAACTCCAGTATCGCCATTGTGGGCGACGCCGCGCACGCCGTCCTACCCTTCTACGGCCAAGGCCTCAACGCCGGACTTGAGGACATTCGTGTCTTGTTCGAATTTCTGGATAAGCATGGCAGTTACGATTTAGACGCAAGCCTGGAAGCTCGTAGAGAAGCGCGCGCTAAAGCATTCCAAGCATACACCGACCAGCGCTGTGCGGACGTGCACGCCATCAACGACCTGTCCAAGGAAAACTACCTCGAGATGCGGTGGGGAGTCAAGACTCCTCTATACAAACTTCGCAAGTCAATTGAAGAGACACTCGACCGCTACGTTCCCAGCCTAGGCTGGCAAACACAGTATTCGCGAGTGAGTTTCAGCAATCAACGGTACTCCGAAGTAACCCGATCTGTTCGATGGCAGGGCAAGGTCCTCGGTTTGGGACTTGCAACTACCGTCATTCCTACGGTAGGAGTGATCGGGTACATGATCTGGAAGAACCCACGGCAGTATTCGCCGCTTGGTCTCTTGCGCTACTCCCTGCGGCGCCTGAGTAGCATCTGGGTGAGGTTGTTCCGCCTAATTGCCTACGCTTGATGGCGATGTATCTCACGTCTTTCTCCTCTTCACCTGTTCTGAGTAGTGTCCTGTGCTGTGAGCGTGTACATCTAATATGACACAACTAGTACGTACTCCTGAAAATTTCAAAACATGCTGGCCAGGTGATGTAGCGGAATCATATCTCGTTTACAGTCAATGGCTGCACCGAGAAGGCACTGGTCGAAACCCAGACTGGTCGTTTTGGTGAGTGTCATGATGTCTACATTTTTGTTCGACTTTTTGGTCCTTTGGAATTTCCCTCCAAAACACGGAGGCGGAAAATGGCGTGGGTGACATACCTCTGAAGACTGTGAACTGGGCCATGATCGAGAAGATAATATGGTCAGACCGAGTCAACAAGAAACAGCACATAGATTCAAACAAGGGGCAATCATCCCTCAACGACAAGGGTACATGGACAAAGCAATAACAACAAGCTCAGAAACGACAACTTCCCGCCAGTCAATGGACTCACATGGCAACAACAGACCGCTGCCAATTATCCGCTCTTGTAGTGTACAGGAAACACGGGCCATGGTTGAGGGGAAGGACACACGGATTGAGTAGTGTACTCAGGTGACAGAGTTCCCCGGCCATTAGACAGGTAGAGTGCGAACTCCAGATGCAAAGAGGTTGGGCCACCCAGTAGAACGGTACAAAGACAACGCACATTCATTAGACCCTCTGACTGGGTCAATCACCATTGATATCTCAATTTCACGCCTTTGGGAGAATGAAAAGTTGGATCACAACCAAACCTGGAGCGCTGAGTATCATTGTGTCCATCAGGATCAAGCGGAAAAAAGTCCTTTAGGCCATCCATGCGGTTAGTAAGGTATGAATAAAGACCATCCGGGGAAATGGAAGGGCATCTCCAGGGGCGCCGGGGAGTAATTTAGGATGATTCCATGGGACCGGAGGGACATCATGGCTTCCAACGGATATTCCTTTAGGATGAGAAGAAACAGGCCATATCGTGGCGACATCCATAAGATAAAGAAAAATGACAAAATCCAGGACTAATTCAAGGGCTGGCGAATTTCACGCGCCGACTGCGCCGATCATGAATACGTTTTTCGGTATCAACATAAAGTTTGTCCAGATATTCCATGGCACTGGCATCTTTGAGCATTTTGGCAACCTGTGTGCCGGCTGAGATGAGCTGGAGCACATTGCGATCATCCTTGATGGGTCTGGACTGATGTTTGGCAGCATGTCTCATTTCCAGGGAATTTTCCAATACTGTCACAAATTGTTTGATCTGGCCATTGTAAAGAACCCGGGCAGGTATGCGGCGCTTGGTGGCCAGCCTTTTCAAGAGATATACCCACTCGGTCCATTCGCGGTCCGAGGGAATCCTCACCTCTCTCTTGTCTGCTTCCAACGGGATGGGGAACTGGTACTTGGCAACAAAGTCAAATGCACACTGCGACAAGCGGTCATTAACTGCGTTCAAGATTCGATCTTGCTCTGAAACATCAAGATTAGTAGGAAGATGAGGGAGCTCTCTGCCCTGCTCCTCAATGACGCGCAGGGATGGTGGCTTCAGCAACTGATGGGGTCCGTCAAACTCGTCACGGTTCGAGGGTCGTCTCTGAGAGTGGTACCGTGTAGTGGCCTTCACCTTTTCAGCATTACGCCGGCTATTTCTCTCGATGAGGTACTCCTGTGTCTCCATGGGCTTGGCCAATTCGTAATCATGCCTCAGTGATTCTGCGGGGAGACGCGCAGGATGGTCCCAATCCTGATACAGTGTACCTGGGCGCGGTAGCGACGCAACAGGCGAGAAAGGCATACCCCCTTGGCTGTGCGAAATTCCTGGCAGCCCACCGTACGCCATACGAAAGTCAAAATCCGGCGACGGTTGCTTTGGACCGCTTGAGGTGGAAATCTGAGTATCCATCGGAGCATATTCACGAGGAGGCGGAAAGCATCTTTTTGCACTGAGCCGAGAAAGCAAAACAGTCTCAGCACAACAGGAACATCAGTGAAGTATGGTATGTGGACGATCGTTCTGAGGGATTTGGTTACCTTTGCTGATAAATTATCGGTGCCTCAGCCGAAGTCCCGTAAATGTGTGGCCTGGGAGGCACCATACCACTAGCGAGTGTGAGTTTCTCTTTGCAAGATTCACAACGGGCAAAGAGGGAAATAGGCAGATTGTTGACGGTGTATATCAGAAATTACCTATGGTGAGGCCAGGATTCAGAATCGCTGCTAATGGAGAACGACCGAGAGCCGCTGCTTGACGTTGCTCCAGAAAAGGAGCTGAGGCCCGAAGACATGGGCATCAAAAGAGGAGGAAGGACCGGTGACATGATGCCAACGATGAAAGAGTCACGAAGCTGAGGTGAAGGATTGACTATGGAGAATGTTGAAGAGCCGTCACTCAATGCTCGAAACCGTCCAGCGATGTGTCTGAATAGAGGGAGAACAGCCGCTGTTTAATAGGACGAAGAAGACCAAAAAAAGCTGGCTGAGAAGCCAATCGACAACACGACAGATAAGCTCCTGGATCTCTTTCGAGGTCTCAAGTCACTGAAGACAGGTAAGACATGAAGAACCCCACATCAGTGGCAACAAACGAAAGGAAGACTCGAAGAAGAGTACCGTCCCTGTCCGGAGGATGAAAAGTAGACTATACCTGATTACCTGTGCTCGATAAGCGCGAAGTACTAGGATCGAAGTCCAGAAATGGCCCGCTTGAATTAGTCCACGGATCAGGAGTTGATGAGTGCTCTGCACTGTGCCATTTCTACAAGGATCAATCGGATGGCGAGCGCCACTGACAACAATTGGCAATCATTATCGCCAGCCGAACAAGCAGCTGAAGTGCATCATTATTGGATCCTGCACAGGTTGTCTCACAGATGGATCAGGTGGATACGCTGCCATAAGCCGGAGAGTATGGCCATGGATAGACTCCTTGGAGGTATCTTGCCCAAGTTCAAAGCCCCATCACCTCCGCGTGATGATCTATGCTCATTCGAGGTTGAATCTGAGGAAAAAGAAGTGGGGAGAAGAGCAAAAGGATCCATGACGCATAGAGTTTTGGACGTTTGGGCAGCAATCTCAGGGCATTTGTCCACTAGGCAGCGGGAGGCTTGGGCCTATGGGGGTCAATACAATAACTGAAGCGCTGCATTTGCGGGTGAGTTTGCTGACTTGGTCCTATTGAACAACTCGGATGAAGTCGATGGCTTGATGAATGGAGAATGTGGGTTTGGTGATGGAGGACTGATGGATGGATACTGGTTCGTCCCGATTAGGTAACGCTGCCTCCGTGACCTTCTACCTCGATCCCAGTTGGCCTCGTCTTCCCTCTTGGCCGTGCTTCATTCCGTTCACTGAGTAAACCTCGCTTTTCCACTTAATAATTGCCTCTGTTATACATTCTGGCTTGTTGATCAAGTTACCACCCATTGTTTTCCACTGAAAGGCCCAATGGATACCTTGGGCTTCACCCGTTCTGGATGATTACCATTGGGGAATCATCCAAATCATCCTTGATTAAGAACAATAAGCGATACTTATGATACTTCCTAGCTGACTGACGGCCTGAAATTGGAATTTGGGCTTGAATCAAACATGGATCTTCATTCCTTGCCCGAAGATGATTGATTCCTGAAGACATTGGGCATACAAGTCGCTGCATGCCTGGCCGCCCAAGCCTCGGGCCAACGCATTGGCAGCTCCCATTTGTGTTACTAATTGTTTACATCTAGAACCTGAAATCATTAGGCGGCCTAAGTGTGAGTATGTGATGATATGCGCCGATCAATCTTCTTGAGAACAAATGTGAGATATTAGGCGTTCGAGATGATGGGACAGGACGACTCTGATATGCCTTTATCTTTGAATCTATACCTGAAGCAATTGCCACTATCAGATATGGAGAAGAGGTTCTAAAAGCGGTTGGTTCATATAATGAATATATGAAGGGATGACTGCGAGAGTACTGACAACCACTTGCGGCTCAGCGAAGACCCAGACGAACAGCAACGGTCTGTAGTCCACAATTCTCATACCTTGAAACTTTGTATGAACGATCTGAGCGCCGTGCATTGCCGCCTGTAAACCGGTGTGATATGACCACATAATTTGATATTGCGCAAAGGCGAAGCGCTTTTTCATTGTCTCTGCTGTAAACTTGTAGGCGTGGGTAGTTCAATTCCAAGACGACAGGCGTAATCCTAGTAGTTTGGGCAAATGAGAATCTCAGAGCTGGGAAGAACAAAGAGAGTATTGCTGCAGGATGTGAACAACATTATGCACTTACCTCGCAGCTCAGTCGTATACCTTCCTCGATTCCGATACGAGCCTCATACCCTAAGATCCGTCTTGCTTTCTCTCCACTAGCATACCGGGTTGAGCATGCATCTTTCACACTTCCACGGCTCAAAGTCGGCGTGGTACCGGACATCCATGTCGAGCATTCGGACACAAAGCCAGCTATGTAAGCCAATGGTTGAGGAATGTGGATCTCGAATGGCGGAATATGACCGAAATGAGACCATACTGCCAGACAAAAGTCTCGAAATGTGATGGGCTCGTTGTTCTGGATGAAGAACGCCTCACCGGCCGCAGTTTTGGAGGTCATTAAGTTCTCGGCGGCCAGAACATGTGCGTCTGCAACGTTGGTGACATAGGTAACGTCCCACAGATTGAAGCCGTCTCCGATGACAAAGGGAGTCTCGCCCTTGGCAATGCATGCATGTATCGCAGGCAGTAGTTGATAGTCACCAGGCCCGCAGAGCACCGATGGCCGAAGGGAACATGTGGCCATTGTGTCGCTCGACTCTCGAAGCACCAGAGCTTCTGCGGCAGCCTAAATATTACAAACAAGCCATGCTAGTTAGCCGACGAGCATCCACAAATCAAAGCATGACAGCGTTGAACGCGGACGGAACCTTGGATTCGCCATAAATGAGAGACGAATGGGGTATGGGCCATCGCTCGTCAATATTTGCATAAGGCATGCACATATCATCCGTCAAAACACAACAGGTGCTGGTATAAATGAAACCTCTTGCTTTGGCAGCTTTGGCAGCTGTGAGCATATTCTTCGTGCCGTCGACATTGATCTTTCTGACTTGACTCTCGAGTCTTCGTCCAAACCGCTCACTGAGAACTGGAACTATTCCAGCGGTATGGATAACAATGTCCGGTTCTTCCTGCTGGATTACTTTGCAAACTTCATCTGAGTCGGTGATGTCAACTCGGATGAACAAAACATCTTCTGGAATTGCATGAGTAGGTCCAGGTTGATTGAGGTCGATAATGACGATAGCACACTCCGGATGCTTCTCTGACACTGCGCGGGCAATAGCTGCACCCACAAAGCCAGTTCCGCCAGATATCAAGACTTTCTTAAGCACCGCTGTGTCCTCTCCCATATTCAACGTTATCATGAAGGAAGTCCACCCCTCGACCGGCTGAGACAAGCCTAGAAAGGACGTGCGAGCTATGCCTAGTAATAGATAGAGGAAGGCTTGGTTGAGTCACTTGTTGGCCACTTGAAAAGTCGCTGTGAACCAGATCCCCAGAATCTGTATCAAGCATGTTGCGATCGATCGGCTGCCCACAAACAATGCATTCACTCAAGGGATGATCCAAGCTCGTCAATAAAAAGTGGCGGGAAAGAACCGAGGACAGGGCACGTGCATCACAATATAAACATCAAAATATCGGCTGGGATTTCTATGAAACACTTGGTCTCTCACAAATCGTTCAGAAATGGGGACGAAAAACCTAACGAGACTTTTGGTTAGATCATGGATGGGAATAGGTAGTACATGAAGAGTTCTAAGAAAGTTACTATACAAAGCCCTGGACCAAGGCATCCACCCCAACAATCGCGGTATAATCAAGCATGGGAGGAAACATTGCGACCAACCAAACTCCGGATTCAATGCAAATCACACAATGTACAGAAAACGCACATGAAGGCGAGATATAGCTGCCTTCTCTTGTCCTTTCAACGTCGCTTCTCTAGCGGACCCTGCAGAGAACCAATCCTCCAATCTTCTTTTCAACACACTCCCTCGCCTCCAAGACGCCTCTATCTGTGGAGAGGTACAAGCTTTCGCCGGGTGACCGTAACCCTTCCACATAATCACTCTTCTCGCCGCGGATCACACGTCGGAGTCCAGCAACATCGATTGTGATTCTTCTCGTAGGCTTGCTGATCATGCTCATTTTTCCCAGCACCGGTTCACTCTGCCAGTACTTCAATCCCAGCCACAGTCGTCTCGAGGCAATGTTAGCCTGTGTCAGTGGCTCGATGCCTTCGACTTCATCATTCGCCGCAGGATGACCAAGAAGAATATGGGGCGGAGGAGGTGTCGGACCTCCGCGGACGACGGAGGAAACGTAGCCGGAGTTTTGAAGGGCAAGGCATAACTTCAGGTGTAGGTTGCTGTGAGGAATCGATGTGAGACCAAGACGGGCCTTGGATGCATTGTTCAAATGCGAGCAGACGTGAGCGAGATTGACGAGAGACATTTTGAGGTCTTGAAAATCAGAGAAATGGCCCAGCAGGGGCCGTGGGTATCGTCACAAAGAGCGCAAAGTACTAGCGGGTGGACAACTCTGGTGCCGGCGATATAGTGTCAACACATGGGTCGCTCTGCACAAACTGAGGGGTGAAAAATTACCTGAAGCAGCTTCAATTACTTTTGGATCTCAATCACAACGTAGTCGGGTCAATGACAATGTCGCTAAACTATTAATGACTGCGCTGTAGTAGAGAATCTCCAGAAGATGCGGAAGCTCAGATGAAATTTTCGGAGAAACCTTGTAGCCGACTCCGCTCCGAGCAGATGACATGTTGATGCCTGAGGCATACAGTAGTCACATCATCGGTCCATCCAATCCACTGTGAGGATGTATACATACTAACAACGGTCTCGGCTAATCATCGTCCTCCATTCTCCGTATCGAAGCGCCGTCGTGGCTGCTCGGCGTCAAAACGCTGCATTCTAGAGGTCAAGTAAGTCGTCCCCTCCTCTGAGTAGAGAGCTATATAGTTAGTGTTACTCGGCCATATTTTTTCGTCCTTCATGCTTCTACCTGTTTCTTCTCTTCTGTCCTGTCCCCGGTTCCCTCTGTTCTACTATACCTAGAACATTATGCCTCCTTTACCAGGTGAAGAGCGTGTGCTGACCGTGTAAGTAGTTCAACTACCCCGCAGAGGACGATACCAAGCTGCGGGAATATGCAAATAACTGATTCGAGGAATTGGCAGTTTCGCCGATATCCATTGTTATTTTACAGCTCCTACTCCCAAGCCTCAATATCATCGGTTCGATAAGGGCTCATATTTCTATCTCTATCACAATCCGTCTCAGCAGAAGCTAAGAATCGAAGTTGCCAACAATCCTGGGACTTCAGATCAGGATGCATTCAATGGATGTCAGTTCCCTCATTGTGTTCGACAACAAAAGTGCTAACCTCTCCCCAGCGTTGGATCATATTCATCTGCGCCATTCCACCAGGTTTCCAACCCTGTGCACCCTGACTGTAGATGGGTACAGTCAACAGACCTCGGAGGACTTCCCACCTCCGCCAAGTCACAATCCGTACGCATGGCAATTACCTCTAAGTGGCCCGCAAGTCGGAAGCACAGACCTTCACCGGCTTCATACGCTAGACATCTACTTCTGGACTCTGGATGATGCAAATGAATTCTTAAATCTGGTGGAACGATATTTGTTGCAATCGCAGATTGAGACAGATCGGCATCCCTATCCGGCTCCAGCAGACTCTACGGTCAGTTCCGTCGTTCAGCAGCTAGAGAACGTGGCGATCACGGATCCTGCATATCAGAATGGACAAACTCGCAACTCTCGATCAGAAGCGGTCTCTACTCCTGCGTCCCAACGTGCCACAGCTCAAGCCGCTATTCCTCCTCCCCCTCCGGTTGGTGCACAACAAACACATACGATGACCCAACCCGCGCTTGAAAAGCAGCAAGACACCACCCAATTCGCACCCTTACCATACAACCCGGCCGCCCCCGCCGCACCGGAACCGATCCAGCACCGGGAGAAAACACCACCGCCGGTAGACGCCGCGGACGGCACAGGACTACTAGCAGCAGCAGCAGCAGATAACGGCGCTCCAATGACACCTCCCTCCCAGATCTCAGGAGGAGGAGGCTACGGACCTCCGCCGAGTCAAGCACTCCCCTACTCTCTCCCCGGAAGCTACGCCTCACCTCCCCCAAGCGCTGGACTCACGCACTCAGGCTCCTTTTCCTCCCAATCATCCATGCAGAGCCCGCCAGGAGTCCCATCGTACACCCCGGCCTTCCTCGCAGGAGGTGGTACAGGTCAACCCGGAACCCAGCCGGGAGCAATTTCCTTCGCCCCGCCCCCCGTGGATCCAAACGCCCATCTCCACGCGCACGGGCAAAGCCTCTACGGCTCCAATCCCCAGGTCCAGCCCCAAGTTCAATCCCAACCTCAAATCGAGCCTACGTCTCCCCCGCCCCCGATCGGCGGCTATTCCAACTACTCCTACCAACCAGCCCCGCAGCCCGCAGCGCCGAACTATGACTATGACGTGCATAAACAACTGTACCGACCGACCGAGGCGGAGGCCAATTCCCATTCTCAGAAGTATGCGCAGAAAGCCACGCAGAACCCGGGACAGCGCTCGCGAAAGTTCGAGGACGGTGCGTCTCGGGTGGAAAGTAGTGTGAACAGGTTCCTGAAGAAACTTGAGAAGCGACTCTAGACCGGATGGATATGGTTGAGTATTGAGAGTGTTTTCCAGACGGCGTTACCTGGGGGTGGCAGTAGCCCTTCAAGCATGGCGATTAAGATTGACCTCACTAAATCTGCATTGCGAGGTACATGATACTAGTCATCCAGCAATCCATACCATATCATAATTTTTGCCTAGCAGAGGTCTCTCAAGAATTACTTGCACATAAACGAGTAAGATTAGACATTATCTCCAACACTTGAGGCGTCTGCCAATCAAAAGATCAATGTGTAGAGACGATGATCAGTATGCACAAGAAGAGAAGGAAGCTGAGCCCTTGCAGGTAGAAGGAGAAAAAAATAAAATAAAATAACACAAGAGTTAAAGTTGAAATGCACAAGATATGAACCTAGAAGTACTCCTACTCAGTACAAATGCCAGTATGGGATGCAATGACGCTGAGGTAAACAGAAACCTGAAAGCAACTCCACCAACTGTATGCTCCGACAAGCACCGTCGATCCTGATCAAGCAGAAAAACAGAATAATGCCTTCCTGGTAACCAACGACAACCACAAGGTAAGGCCAGAAAAAGTAAAACACCGCAAGCTAACCGCACGAAGGGAATATCTACCCGTGTTGCAAACAACAATCATAGGTGAGTAGGTAAGCCAGAAAGATAAGAAGAATAGAATGAGAAGATGAGGGTTGAGATAGCTCAACGTCCCATGCAAGACCTGAGTCGGGTTTGCCCTTGCCTTGCTTAACTGATGGTCAGATTCTCCATCTCAACAGCGACGTCATCGGTCTTGGGTTCCGTTTCAGCTGGGATGATTACAGAGTGCTCGGCCAGCTGTTCCATTTCAGGCTCAGCGGGAAGTTCACTTGCCAAGTGTTCCTTTGCCTCAACGGGAGCAGGGTTGCTAGTATCCTCTGCTGAAGCTTCGACTGTCTCTGAAACGACTGTATAAGAGACTGGGGTAACCAATTCCTCAGTCTTCTTTTGATCCACATCTGCGGATTGCTCGGCAATTGCTTCCAAGGACTGTTCAGCTGGTTCATCAACCTTGGATGTCGCAGTCTCTCCAAGCGGCGCATCTGAAGTGGGAGTGGTCACAGGCTCAATGGAGGCATCTTCTTCTGACTCCTTCTCGACTTCAGCGCTCGCTGTGGGTTCCTCGACAGGCTTTTCAACATCTTCCGAGACTGGCTTGGGCGCTTGGTCATAGACATCAGCCTCAGGCTTTACATCTTGCTCTTCGCAGGCCTCTTTCAATACTGGAGCAGCTTGTAATTCCTTTTTAGAATCTGGCGGTACAGAGGAGGCAGGGTGCGCCTTGTCTCTCTTATTCTTTTCTGACTCGGTTTTCTCTTTCGGCGGCCGAGCTGCTCGAATATCGGTCCTGGAGGCGACTGTTCTGGGGGCTCTGGCAGGCTTGGAAGTTGGAGGAGGGCTTTTGATTTCGACTTTATCATGTACCTTGCTGGCGGAACTTGCCGTAGGACGCATCATTCTAGCTAGGAAGCTATCATCGACCGGCTTGGTGCTTGCGTTGCTAGCCCGAGAATGTGGGCGGTCGGTACCTGAATGGCCAGGAGGAGACGGGCGAGACGCTTGCTTACGAACACTGGCAGCCGTGGGTGTCGTTGCCCGCGATTGACTGGCATTGACCGCTTTCTTCAGAGTGGATGGCTTCCTGGTCAGGCCGGGGCCGGCCCCTCCTTTGGCGGTAGAGGATAGAGAAGAAGCCGTCTTCGATGGTGGCAGGCGGGGGGGCCTGGCCGGTGATTTGGGGCGGGTATTCCTGTCATCGGTCGTGGCTGGCTTGGTGGATTCGCGCGCGGGCATTGAAGCACGGACGGGGCGTGTGGCAGTCTTGGTTGTAGTATTCAGAGATACCCGACTCGGCTTGTGGGCTGCAGTTCGAGTAGGTGCAGTGTGGTCATCCTTCGTCGCGGCTGCCTTGGCAGAGTGCGCCAGTCTAGAGGTCCTGTCGGTGCTCGGTTTAGCGGGAGAGGTTGGTGTGCGTGGATGGGCTGGCGATCTTGGGGCAGCCGCGGACGATGATTTGGTAGCAGAGTTAGTCTTGCCAATGTGGACGTTCGAAGGTCGCTTGGTAATTGCTTTCGTCGGCTTATGTGCTGGCTTAGCTGGGGCTGTCTCCGTTGAGGTATGTGGTGCCGACATTGTCTTCTCCCTCTGGGACACATCGCCAGCGCTGGTTTGCGTTGCTGTTTGTGCCTTATTCAGGGTCTCGGTCGAAGCATTTTTTGGAGGCTGATCAGCAGCAGGCTTTTCCGCGGCGTTGAGACCGTTTCTCGGAGAAGACGAGGAGTCAGAGCTCTTTAGAACCGCTTCGAAGTCTTCCGAGTTGAAACTTCTCACCCTAGATGGAGGCGCCACACCGTCGATGGGACTGCCTGGGCTCCTGAGCCCCGAGACCGGACTTCCTTGAGACGCTCTATCCACGGATATGAAACTTGCGCGCACCTTGGAGAGAGGCCGTGAGGTTCCTGCGTGATCCGACCCGATCGGCGATCGACCACGCGGAGGTGGAGAGGCGGTGCTGTTTTGATTATTGTTCTCGAATCTGGCCAGCAAGCTTCGCACACCAGGATGCGCCCCTGTGTCCGTCATGGTGTTGGAAAGCGACAAGGAGTCGACGCGCGGAGAGCTAAATCAGAGACATAGACCAGACGACGCGATAGTAGGAAATCAAACTCGATGCCTTGGTCTCTGTCACAACTCTGGTGGGATATTCACAAGAGGGTTAGATAGATTATGAGTTCGAGCCTTGTAGGGCTTTGCGAAAAGGCCAGATGGCAAGGAGGTCTGAAACGCAGGCTGGACGAGGGAGGGGGCGGGTAGACGTGATATAAACAGACTCCACGGTAGAGAGGCTAGGACTCTGTGAGGAACAGTTGTCAATGGCTTTGAGACAGATCGAGACTTTTGAAATACAACATGGTAATGATACCTGATAGATGATGGGCCTGACAATAACAATAACAATGATCGTGAGTGGTGATACAGGAAAAGGAGAGTCAGAGTCAGAGAAGTTGCCGGGAGAAGATGCGGGCAGGGGAAGCCTGAGGCAGCTGTTTCAGGGGGCGGAGCCGCGGCTTCAACTTAAGTAATTTCGGCGCATTTCTGTGGCATTTTATTAATAATTCAAGATTAAAGGATTAAAGGACAGATTGAGTACTTCTTTTTAGTCTCTATCTATCTAGGTGGATAGTCTCTAGCAGAGGAAAACAAGTCAAGGATACAAGGGACTGATAGTTCCAGCCACTATTGAATCTGACGCTATGTTGTTTACTCCCTGCCTTAAAGAGCGACCCGATCTATGGTTGAACACGGCCAAATGGCGTCATTATCCGTCCCTTGCCAGCGACTCAAACATTACCTAGACAGATACGCGCTGTACCTGGACAGATGCAGCTGACTCCACGAATGATGAGGCAGAATCTGACATTCTGATGTCTTTGATTTATAGAGAAAGATATTGATCAATTTCAAGCATCAAACGCAGAAGTTTCAGCGGCTTATCGCAAGCGTCAGATGATCTACTCAGTAAGGGCACTATATATCTCCCTGAACATCACCCAACATCTTCTCCAGCCTTGCCATATCCTCTCGTAAGCACGCGTTGAGTTTTGGGACAACGGTAGGGAGACAGCAATGGACGATGAGCTCAACTACACAACGAGTCTACCGAGAAGTGAGATCTCATAGGATAGAGCAGCTTGTTGACTGTTGCTGCGCGGGAAACGGTACTAGAGATGCTGAAATTATTGCCCACGTCATTGCTGTCGACCCTGATCCAGAGAGATTATGGTCCTTCCTGGATCAGGGATAGCATCACTTTATTCACGAGCAGCGAGATCACACGGATTGTCTGCAACGCAGGAGTAGTCATCTGCTCGACTTGCATAAATGAGAAGCAATGCCTCCAGGGCAATTCTCCAAGCTGTTAGTATCATTTTCAGGAAGCAGTGATACCGGATACACAACGTAGACGACCGCAGCTTCCTTTGAAGGGGAACAGGTGAGAGTATCAGACCGACGACTCAGATATCTCTCCGTGCACCAGTCTCGGATTTGGCTTGGACTGGCTTCCCGCGCTTCTTTCCATGGATGGCCACACCAGACTCGATTCTCACCGCCAGTATCTCTGTCACACTTATTAGTTGAGTATAACAACGGCTGGTTTGGGCTTAGGTGAAGACTGCAACGTTGATGAAAAATCACCTGAACGTCCCAAGCCGAGATGAGACATTGAGACTGCCACAAAGGACCTTTTGCCATCGTTATCAGTCCTATCTTCAATCGATGTCTTAGCTCTGAAGAAAATGACGCCGTTGTGATACCCATTTCCCCGGTTATGACTATAGTCCCACGGAACAATATTCTTCCTGCGGTCGCATGCGGCATACTAATAATCCCCAGCATTTCCGCTCCGATTGCGGGCTCCGTAGAACGGAACTCTTTTTCGACTCGGGGAAAAAGAGGAGTCACACAATACCCATAATTTCACAATGGCAGCTGCTAGAACTCTTCGCATAGGTCAATTGAATCCTTCTTGAACTTCAAAATACCCTTCAGACTGACACTTCGCACCATCAGGTCTCATTCCCGGAGACGGTATCGGACGGGAGGTCATTCCGGTATGTCGCAGCTACAGACCAGAAACAGCACAGCAGGGTAGAATCTGACTCAATTAATGTGAATAGGCCGGTAGACGGGTGTTGGAGTCGCTTCCGGCTTCTCTGAACCTCAAGTTCAGCTTCGTCGACCTCGATGCTGGCTTCGACACCTTCAAGCGGACAGGTACCGCTCTGCCCGACAAGACCGTCGAGACGCTGAGGAAGGAGTGTGACGGTGCCCTGTTCGGAGCTGTCAGGTCGGTTGTCCATATAGCAGGAAGCTTCAGATCTTCAACCTGACAGTCTTTGAATAGCTCCCCCAGCACCAAGGTCGCCGGCTACTCCTCCCCCATTGTCGCTCTCCGCAAGAAGCTGGACCTCTACGCCAATGTGCGTCCTGTCAAGACTACCGCCGGGAGCGGCGGCAAGCCCATTGATCTCGTCATCGTGCGTGAAAATACCGAGGATCTCTACGTGAAGGAAGAGACAACCAAGGACACCCCCAACGGCAAGGTTGCCGAGGCGATCAAGCGAATCTCCGAGCGTGCCTCGAGCCGGATCTCCACCATTGCGGGAGAAATTGCCCTCCGCCGTCAGAAGATCCGTGACACCGCTGGCAACTCTGCTCTCCGCACCAAGCCCATGGTGACCATCACCCACAAGTCCAACGTCCTGTCGCAGACAGACGGTCTCTTCCGTGAGACCGCCCGCAAGGCTCTCGCCGCGGAGCGCTTTTCCTCTGTTGAGGTGGAGGAGCAGATTGTCGACTCCATGGTCTACAAGCTCTTCCGTCAGCCCGAGTACTACGATGTGATTGTTGCCCCTAACCTGTACGGCGATATTCTGTCCGACGGTGCTGCTGCTCTGGTTGGCAGCTTGGGTCTCGTGCCCAGCGCCAACGTTGGGGATGGTTTCGCTATTGGTGAGCCCTGCCACGGCAGTGCTCCCGACATCGAGGGCAAGGGCATCGCCAACCCCATCGCTACTCTGCGCAGTGTCGCTCTGATGCTCGAGTTTCTGGGTGAGGAGCAGGCCGCTGCCAAGATTTACGGTGCCGTTGACGCCAATCTGGACGAGGGCAAGTTCCTCTCTCCTGACATGGGTGGAAAGGCCACTACCCAGGAGGTTCTGAACGATGTGCTCAAGAGACTGTAAATTGCAGAGAATCTTACCGGAAACAATGTATGTATAGAAGTATAGCCGATAACCACCAAAAAGTCGATTCATTAGCCGTCTTATATATATGACTTTTGACCAACACTAGAGCAGAAGATATGATACTAGTACAGATCATCATTCAACATCCCCCGCTGACGGCTCCGGCTCCCATTCAAACTTGCCTAGTTTCCCTTTATTCTCTTCATGTTTCCCCCTGCTTTCCTGAATCTCCTGCTCAATGCGCTCCTTGTGCTCCGGCTCTTTATCCGTGTCGAGCAGGACGAGCGTGAACAGCACAACAAAATAAACCTCACCCGTCTCCCTGTTCTTCAAAACATACCGCAGGTCATGATTCTTCTCATCAATAAACTTGGTCGCATGGACCGTCAACCCAGGAAGCCGCAGCGAGAAATCTAACCCTCGTCAGCCAAGCCAACCAACCTAACCGACACCTGCGAACCCAAGGCAACCAACCATTGAAAACCAGATACGGATTCCCAAAATCCGCCGCATACACCCTCCCCGTCTCAAAAACAAACTTCTTCCTCTCCTCCTCATTCTGGAAGAACTTGCGCCGCTCCGCTACACCCTCCGGAACGCCCCGCCGCGCGCGCTCCTCCACCCCAGACCCGTCAGCCCCCTCCTCAACAACCACATCATGCAGCGTCGGCACCTCCTCATCCTTCCCGATCTTCTCCCCGATCCGGAACTGGTTCAGCGAGGCGACGGCGGGACTATACAGGTACGGTTTATCCGCGTACGCGTCGCCGTCCATGGCCGGGTCGATGGTCCATTTGACCAGTTTCAGCGCGGCGTTGAAGCCCGGTGGGAGGCGGTCCCGGATGGGTCTGTCGAAATCATTGCCGAAGAGCAGGTCGTTGCCGTTGACGGGTTTCTTGAACACTACGGAGAAGGTGATGGAATATTGGTCGTTTTGGTGGAGGGGGTGCGAGAAGTAGGGATGCGTTTCGGGGGAGTCGTCGGGATAGCCTTATTTCCTGATCGTGAGCTTCCAGGCATTGCGGAGAGATGGGGCGGGCTTACCGGTGTAGTTCCGGATCCGAACGCAGAGACTCACTGTCGCAAGCTTGTTCTCGATTCGTAGAGTCTGGTCCGTGTTGACTGGTACGATGTCGTGGGTGTCCGGGTTATACTCCGTTCCTGCTGTGACCTTGAGTCGATACTTGTGAGCTTGGTTCCTGCCTAACATCCTGAACGTCTATTGCTTCTTCCGAAGGAATCCTGTTATTACACTTCTATGAATCGCTGTGTAAGTATGTAAAAGGCCAAATGCACTGGCTCTAAAAACCTGAGCGCTCTTATATGGCTCCCTGGAGCATGATCATCACTGATATTCTTGATTCTATTAAAAGCTTGTTGTTCTTGATGAACGCCAACCGACGTCATCCGCTGAACGAAATTCCGCGATAAGCTGGAGCTCCCGACCTTATCTATTTTTGCTATCTACTCTAGATGGATACAGAGTCTGTCTGAGATGGACAACATCAACCAAGATGGTTTATACCTGCAAGACGGATGTTTTCCAATTGAACCAAGAATCAGCCAGCCAGCATATGATACAAACGCGACGACGAGCCTCTCGGCGCTCATAGTTGAGCTGGATCGGACGGCAGAAGATTAACGTCCATTGGGGGATCAGCGCCGTCCTCAACTTCATTCAGAATGTCTTCTTCGGTCAAAATGCCAATGCCACTGTCGAGCCGCCTTCTATTCTTACCCCTGCCAACCTCCACATCAACGAACCTGGTCATACTGACTGGAGTGATCGGCTCGCTTGGAAGAGGAATGCCGTCCGACTGAAGATCATCTGACTTCATTTCCCAATTTGCGGCACGGATCTTCGCCCTTCGTCGCTCTGAATTGACTGTCTCTTTCATGAAAGCAAATGACCGGGCTTGATCCGCAGCCCATTTGTCCAGCAGATTGTCCCTGACCTCCATTTCTAGTTGCAGCTGCTCATGCAGCCCTGTGTTGCTTCGAAGCAGCTTTTCTACTTCTGACTTGGCAGCCTCAAGCGCGGTGGTGAGCTCCGAGACCCGGACATTCAGAAGACCGATCTCATTTTCATGCTGTTCAATCTGCTCGGCTATCTTCTGTTCTAAGCTTTGGATAGCTTCCCGTCGCTCTTTTTCGATCGATTCAACCTTCGCGGTAAGGTCGCACGCGCGAATCCGGTTCAGCTCCACTGTCCCTTCGAGCTGACGAATACGTTCTTCCCGCTCAGCAACAGCAGACTCGGCCGCAGAACGTGACTTTTTCTCGTGAGCCAATTTCTCCTCAAGTTGGGACACATGCTGGCTGTGCTGCTCTTGAGAAGCGGTCTTATCCGCCTCAAGTTGATTCACAAGGATCTCGAGCCCTTTGACCTCCTCACAATATTTGCTGAGTGCTGCATTCAATCTGTCAATGCTCACGACTTGCTCTTCTCCTTCGCGTTCGAGTTCCTGCATTCGCATTCTTGTATGCAGCATATCGCTGGCAGAAGCTGCCCTCGACTCTTCCAGATCCTGAATCTTCTTTGTTGCGACCTCATACCGAGCCAAAAGGGTATCGAATTGGCCACGCAGGGCCTTTTCACGACCTAACGAGCCATGGTGGGAATTACGCTCTTCGTCTAGGTCCTTTACCAACAGCTCTACCCGGTTGACCAGCGCGGCCAATGTGGCACTTCCATCATCCAGACCCGCATTGGCTATTTCACCAGGTAGTGCGCGCTCCAGACCGAGACGCGCCGAACGGAAGCAATGGCGCATCTCAGAGATGATGTCGTTCACAGTAGTACCCGAAAACCCAATACTCGAAAGTTCTTCCGCGGCTGAATTCAGAGCGCCGACAGCGTCTGAGGCACGGCTGACAGCCTCGGTGAGCGCGGGCACAAGTTGAGCTAGGAAATCCGGAGGCGGAGAGGATCGGCGGAGGTGCTGACCAAGTGATGTGCCATTGAATGCAGAAGAGTGAGCGCGGATTGCATCGAACAGATCCCTTTTTTCTTTCCTGGCAGCTTCTAGGTCGAGTGAGAGTGTGCGTATCTCGGCTTCTTGTTCCTCATCAGGCAAATAAGCTTGGGTGCCAACGTCGGTAGCTGTATTATGATTGTGCAGCAGTGAAAGATTGTCCGGGGCGGGGGAATGACTTTCATCTAAACCACGGATGACAGGCGAGTTGGACATAAGGATAGTATCCCCGTCAAATACACTGTCATTGATGATGATTGTGTCGGTTGTGGTGAAAGAATCCTGATCATCAGCATTGTGGATTGAAGAGAATGAGATCTCCTCCCTAAGACGGCCGTTTTCGGCCTCCAGACGTTCGATTCTGGTCCGTGGCGACATGGCCGTGGGTTGATCATCCATGTGCCTGACTTGACGCTCATTTTGGATAGTCTTCGCCGATTCCAGCTCCTGCTTCAACGCATCCCTTTCGCGCAGCAAGGACTGGATGGTCTTTTCGTAGTAAGCGGTTTCACGTTTCTCGCGCTCTATGTGATTGATCTCATCACTTAGACCTACACGGCAAAGTCGTCGCTTCGTCCGAGGATCCAGGATCTGCCGCAGGGGCGTAAACTGCACCACTTGCTCCGAAGATGACAGGTCCTGCAGATAACGGGGCCGTGCTACAGGAGCAGAGCGCCGCCGCGTCCGTCGGCTCGGGGTGCGGGTCATTCGGTCTGCATCCCCTTGATCCTCAAAGGAGGTGCGAAGCAGTGCGGGCGTCAAACCCGTAGAATAGTCGGGTTCGTGGATCCGAGGGCCGGGATCCGAGAAGCGGACCCTCTTGTTTGGTCTTTGGGGAGTCTTGCAGGTTGACGGTGGTATCCCCTCAACTTTTTCAGTGGATATAGAGTCCTCAGACTCAATTTTCCTCTTGCACGAGGAGGGACAACGAGTCTCAGAGTTGGAAATGGAAGTCTTTCGACTCTGGCTTCGAGTCATTCTGGGAGCCATTCTGCACTTGCGGGTCCGATAGTGGAATTATGCGAGGCAAACAGGACGTCTATCTAAATTTTTGACAGCTTCCTTCGAAAAGAACGACAATGATGATAGAAATGGTCAAAAGTGGTGATACAGCTCACTTCAATTGCAGACGAAGATGACTCCGGAAGTATCTATCCTCCAAGAGATAAACAAACAAACAACGCCTTCATCTGAGACAGCCCTTGTAGAGAAGTATGAGACAAGGCAGCGAGGGGTTATATGTAAGTCGTCCAAAGATGGAAGGCACAGGCAGCAACCCTCGCTGGTGCCTTCCTCACGCGTCGGTATGGATCCATGTTTCCCAATCTGGAAGAAGTAAACAACCCGTCAGGTGACCTTGGAGCCTAGAATTTGCGTTTGTGTCCAATCCAAGTCATATCTTAGCCGTCCACTATGAGCACCGCTTTACCTTTACTTGTTCATATGCGTGGAGCGATCGTGTCATGATGACCTCTAGCACCGTAGATTCAAGGCAACCATGGGTCACGAGTCGGAGTTGACCAGAAATCAGTAGAGTCCACGGTCCTCCATTGCTTATCATCTTATCGAGTCCTGGTTATCTTATTGGTAACACCAACTGGCAGTGATCAACACCAGCTTCTCCCCCGCACCAGTCCCGGTACAGGGAACGCCTGAGAGCAGTGATATCGGAAGCATCACGATATTCCGAAAAAGAGCTCTCCCTCGCTGATCTATCCCGGCAACGGCAGCCGTATATCGAGGCAATTCGTCTTGATCCCATCAATTATTCTCCCATCTCCTGCACAAATGATGTCACTCGTCGATTCCTGAAATGCCATGCCTGCAGGATTGCTAGTTCATTAGCCCTCGTCCATCTTTCTTTCCGGATCATACTTGATACTGTCATTTGCCTATACTTTTGTACGGACGCTGGAAATAAACCAACAAAAGAGCAACCGGAAAGCATCGCATCTATGGATGGCGATTTGAATACCTCGGAGGACTCGCTCCAGTTGGCGGCCGACATGCATGAACAGAAGCAGCAACACCACCATCCTGAAAACTTAGATACAGACTCTAAGCTTGATGAATGTCCGAAGACAAATCTTTTACAGCTTCCTGCTGAATTGCTTCACCAGATTCTGTCGTACCTGTCGGCGACGGATCTGGCCCAAGTGTCAGGAGCCTGCCGTTCCCTCGCCGAACATGCAGCGAACGATCTCCTGTGGGCAGATCTGGTCAATGTCCATTTGCCATTCAAGATCCACGAGCCGAGCCCTTTTGACTCGTTTCGCAACCTCTACGCGGCTTACCACCCGTGCTGGTTCATCCCACAGCATAAAATCTGGTTTTCGGACACGGAGCATACAGGCAACCTAATATTGGCGCGATATGATCCAAGGAGAGGAGTCATTGAGGCATATCGGGTTATTGCCGAAAGACATAGTCGTCCATTTCAAGTCTGGGAATCGAATCCGGATGTCATGGTCCAACCCTTTGATCCCAAGGTTAGTCTTTGGTTGGATGACCCAGTTCTCCTCCTGAAGAACAACCAAGGCCGTCTGCCGCGATATTTGCACGGCGAGACTCGCATGCCAATGGCGATAGAAACACAACATGTCTTCAATGCTTTCTCGTTGTGCTCTTCTGAATCACCCCCGAACCTGCCAGTAGATCCTAACAAGCTGTGGCCCCCACCAACCATTCCTAGTGAACATCGTGTCTACCGGGATATGGAAGCCCAGTGGTCGGACTGGGACCAGCATCCGCGATGTCTAGCAAATATGTCAGAACATGCGTTCCGGATTCGACGCTGGGCACATTTCCGGCTCGGGATGCCTATGTTTACCGCCGGCCGGAGCGAAACACTGTCGACTTATGCTACACTGGACCCCCGCCTGTATACTCCGACGAGGGAAAAACCGTATCAGGGCATTTGGGTCGGTGACTACTCTGCTCATGGGTGCGAGTTTTTGCTTTTCCTACAACGAGACCAGGATGAGGAACCGTCCAGCTCCTCTGACGAACCAGAACTCGGTCCCGACGAAATCGTTCAGAAGGGCAGCCTTGAGGCAATCAAGCTCACAGGAGACCCGAATGTTCCTCGGGGCCAGAAATCTTTTGTTGCCCCTGACATTGGCCCAGGAGGTGTGGTTCGTGTCGCGGAAGAGGCCCCGTTCCGAGGATGCAGGATTGTCCGGAGCAAAGGCCATGTGGCAGGTCTCGGGTTCAGAGATGGTAAGCTTTCAATCAATATGCTTTCTCGCAGGGACATACATTGACACCTTCGACTCGCATCAGACACCTTTATTCCATCGCAGCTGATATTGATATCACCTGATTGCGTCGCTCTTTATTGGGAGGCTATGGGCCACATGTCATATTTCCGACGGCTTGACATTGATGTGCTTATTCAGACGTGATTCGCCGCTTGATTTGGCAAAGATACTCCCTGGGCGGAGTACATCAGGATCAACAACATACATGCACGGATTGACGGACCTTACGATGTGGTATGCATTCGCCTATCCTTCTCTGATTGCTGTCCTGACTCGCTGACAGACAGGGTGCTCAGTTGAGGTGGACATTGGTCTGAGTCACAGATTCGAACAGACCATACTATTTCTTCGTCACCCGGCGCGCGACTTGTAAAATGACCATGTCTCGTTGTGAGAAGATTGAAGTGATGATCAAACCACCAGAGCCATGAACACATACCATATCATGGGAAATGATCTGCTGGACGGTTCGGAATCCCCGAGTGGTTTGAGTCACGTCACTAGGGGTGAGCATTTATTCATGGTTCGAGGTGCAAGAGATTACGGTTATTCAGCTTCTGAAACGTGGAAAAGAATTTGTCAGAGTAGAAATATGTATGCAGAAGTCAAGAGACACAGAAAAGGGCATCCCTAACGCCATAGTCTGATTCAATCAAATGGAAATGCAAAGCAGAAATCGTCAATCATGAATCAACTGCCACGCAGCTGGGTAATCGGGAAACAAACCGCGCCCGATTGTTCCCTCTTTTTACATGTTTAATCCAGCGCAACAGAATCTGAGTTGGGTATGGTATGTCCGACGCATCAACTCCAACAACGAGCATGCAAACAGGCCGCAGTGAAAAACATCCAAAATCGTGGACCGCCCGTCACCCCTCCATCGTACATCTGCGATTCTGAGCCCTCCACACCAACCACCATCGAGCCACAATCACCGCTTGCGTTCGAAGTAACTCGTGGACGCCAGGACAGCCACCGACTGATCCATGACCCACTCGCCGACGCCGAGATAGTTATCGATCCATTTCTTAAAGTCCTTGTTATTGGTGATCTTGTCGGAGTCGAGACTGGGGCTGTGAGAACCCCACGCGGCCCGGACCAGGGCGCGGGGTGACAGATTAGCTTCAGTCCATCAAGACCCCATCCTCCACAAACATAGAACCGAGAAAACGGATCCATCCGAGTCGACCGGGGTGTGAATACAATATGTGGAGAGCGGGGAATATTTACGTTAAACCAGTCGAGCGCTTGATGCCTGCCAGAAAGGCAGAGACTATAGAAAGCAACCATCAGCAGTTCATTCCCCCTCTGCTTCACTGCAGAATAGACAAGTACTTACAGAGCACAGCGTCAAAAGCGTAGTGAGTTAGGCGTCCCAGCTGTACCAGATCGCAAATCAGCATATCATCATACTCTCAGAGTGGTCGTCGGGATAGCTACCCAGCTACTCCGTACATAGATAGCTAGGCACCCAACGCCGACACAAAAACATACCATGATGACTAGAGCCGCACAAATACACAGCTCGTCAGATTTCCTCCCGAGCTTATCTGCAAGAGTAATAGCGAGGAGAAAAACCGTACAATTCACTTCAACGACGTTCAATACTAGCAGTCAAAAAGCAGAGCAGGACTTTGTACGAATGACAGGCGGAAGTCGGGGAAGGTGGTGATACTGTGATAGCCTCACGTGAGGGGACAATCTAACTGTCTTAGACTCTCAGTGGCCTTTCTAGCTCCACTTCCACCTGACAACGGTTGTTTTGCTGGCAGTACCCACCAGGCGGTGAGTGAGGTGGCTGGGTGAGGCTGGGAGCATAGGTAAGCAACCGAGCATTAGTCAATTATGCATGCTTAGTCATTATGCTAACAGGTGCACACGCAAACAGAAGAGGACTAGTGGCCTAGCCGGTGTACGCATCGGTCATGTCGCCAGCGGCTGTTCGCTAGCCTGAGCAGCTTCGCTTGAGACTTTGGTCCCATGAAACAGCCTGGCAAGTGCCGAGCTGGAGCTCTTTAGATGTAAACAACCCAGCCAATCAGAGACTGAATCAATCTGCTCGGTCAATTCGGTGCTCTTGACTCTTACAGTTACCCGGAGTACTCTCAACCAGAAGGGATCAGGGCAGAGGCTATGTACCACTACTATTGTTGTCCAAATCGCTGGTCTCCATCCACTGAGATCCTATCAATATGTACGATCAACAGAAGCTGATGCTAGTATCTCACAATCATGCATTCAGTCCAATAGTCCTCTATGCTAGTGGCCCTGAAACTTTTATTTTTCTTGGTACAAATGTTCACTGCTCTTCCAGACTTGCCAGGGCTCTATGAGGGGTGCCGGGCATCATTTCTTTTTTCTGTTACGGCCTGATAACAGCATTCTGGAGATAGATAAATAAGAATAATAATCAAAATTCAAAGATGTGATTAATAAGAACTCGCAGTGAACAAACTATCCATATTCTACTTAGACTACAGTCTACAGTCTGGGAACTACAGCGTAGATAATTTTCTCCTGCCCGCGGGGGCACCGGAGACAGTCTTAGTCTGCCCCAACTGCGCCAGACGGCCAACAGTATTTTCCCTCCCGTGCACGACCAGATGGAGCCCCTCCCTCCCTCACCGGGACAACTCTGGTCTTGGTCCCTCTTTTTTTATCGACACTGCTGCTCTGCTTCCATCTCAATCCAACTTTCTATCTTCTCCTCTCTCCCCTCACTACTCACAACATCACATCACTCACCTCAATCAATTCCTTCCTTTTTCCATTCCTTCAATTCCATCAGAAGAGTCGTTCAAGATGGCCGCCAGCTCTTCTCTTGACCACCTGAGCAACCGTATGAAGCTGGAGTGGCACGCCAAGCTGAACACGGAGATGGTTCCTGCGAAGAACTTCCGTCGCACTTCCATCATTTGCACCATCGGTATGTCTGAACTGCTCAATGTTATTCTGAGAATATTTGCATTCTTAGAAATTGTTTGACATCGCATGATACTGACGTTGGCTATCTCCGCAGGCCCCAAGACAAACTCCGTCGAGAAGATCAACGCTCTCCGCAAAGGTACGAGCGGGGAATTTGTTCTCAAGGAATCTCTGTCAATAGCATGAGCTGACAAGTTTCAACAGCTGGTCTCAACGTCGTTCGCATGAACTTTTCTCACGGCTCGTATGAGGTTAGTCTTGAGTTCAGCGCCCCAATGGGATGATAGGCTGCGAACAGAACCCTGACGTGTTCAGTACCACCAATCTGTCATCGACAACGCCCGTGAGGCCGAGAGTGTCCAGGCCGGACGTCCTGTTGCCATTGCTCTTGACACCGTGAGTTTCATGACGTGCGATGCCTCCCAAAACCGTTCAGCTCTGACTCCTACATCAGAAAGGACCTGAAATCCGTACCGGAAACACCGTTGGCGACAAGGACATTCCCATCAAAGCGGGCCATGAACTCAACATCACCACTGACGAGCAGTATGCTACCGCCTGCGACGACAAGAACATGTGAGTATATTGGATATCCATGCGTTGTTGGATCTCGATGTCCCCGGAAAACGAAAGCTTTCGAAAGCGTTCATTTTAGGAATTGATGAGCTGACGAGAACTCTGGCAGGTACCTTGACTACAAGAACATCACCAAGGTGATTGAACCCGGCAAGCTGATCTATGTGGACGATGGTATTCTCTCGTTCGAGGTGCTCGAGGTTGTTGACGACCAGACCCTGCGTGTCAAGTGCCTGAACAATGGCAACATCTCTTCCAGAAAGGGTGTCAACCTGCCCGGCACTGACGTTGACCTTCCCGCTCTCTCCGAGAAGGACATTAGTGATCTCAAGTTCGGTGTCAAGAACAGGGTTGACATGATCTTCGCCTCGTTTATCCGTCGCGGGAGCGACATTCGTCACATTCGTGAAGTCCTTGGCGAGGAGGGCAAGGAGATTCAAATTATTGCCAAGATTGAGAACCAGCAGGGTGTCAACAACTTCGATGAGATTCTCGAGGAGACTGATGGTGTCATGGTCGCCCGTGGTGACTTGGGTATCGAGATTCCTGCCCCCAAGGTCTTCCTGGCCCAGAAGATGATGATCGCCAAGTGTAACATGAAGGGCAAGCCAGTCATCTGTGCCACTCAGATGCTCGAGTCCATGACATACAACCCCCGCCCCACCCGTGCGGAGGTGTCGGACGTTGCCAATGCTGTTCTTGACGGCGCTGACTGTGTCATGTTGTCCGGAGAAACTGCCAAGGGCAACTACCCCACCGAGGCTGTCAAGATGATGTCGGAGACCTGCTTGCTTGCAGAGGTCGCTATTCCTCACTTCCAGGTCTTTGACGAATTGCGTAACCTTGCTCCCCGCCCCACCAACACCGTCGAGTCTATCGCCATGGCTGCCGTCAGCGCCAGTCTTGAGCTCAACGCTGGTGCCATTGTTGTCTTGACCACCAGGTATGTGTTTTGATAGTCGTCTTCGATTGATCGAATTCCGCTGACAGAGTCGATTTTTAGTGGTAAAACTGCTCGCCTTCTTTCCAAGTACCGCCCTGTCTGCCCTATCATCATGGTCACTCGCAACCCCATGGCCGCCCGGGTAAGTTCAATCTCATGATCGTCATCGGACAATTGAGCGTTGCTGATCGTGTAATCAAGTACTCCCATCTGTATCGTGGTGTCTGGCCTTTCACCTTCCCTGAGAAGAAGCCCGACTTCAACGTCAAGATCTGGCAGGAGGATGTTGACCGCCGCCTCAAGTGGGGTATTTCTCACGCTCTCAAGCTCGGCCTCATTAACAAGGGCGACAACATTGTCTGTGTTCAGGGCTGGCGCGGTGGCATGGGCCACACCAACACTGTCCGTGTGGTCCCTGCTGAGGAGAACCTCGGCCTGGCTGAAGAGTAAATCCGATCACGACTGCCATTTTCGGTGGATAACACGTAATGACTGCGGTCGGATCATGTGCGAGAAGGGGTGGTCTTGTCTTAGACTTTGTAGATAGGTCTCGACGACCGATGAAATCGCGCGCACTCCAGGCAGTCACTCATCTCTCTCCCTGCGAGGTTTCGCCAGTGGATACGATAAGACATGGAGTAGTGACAGAAGCACAGCGGCCTGGGGGTGCTTGCTATTTTCACCATTGAATTTCGATGCGCAAAAGCGGACGCTTACCCTGGGGGACATTATTCGGTGTGGAATCTGTTTTGAAGCGTTGATCATCCATCATCCAGGCGGTGTGCCCTGATGCTGGATTAATGAATTGCTCATGTATATGATGGGAACGAAATCAATCACTGTTCAATCAACGGAGGATGTTAGTAGAGCCTTATATGTTAGTTATGCGGCAACGCTTGTAAGTGTTGATGTTAACCGGTCACGGCTTGATGAAGAATCACGTAGACCAAGTGGACGTAGCAATCTCGAATGCTGCATTAAATGCTCAGAATACTCATCACTGAGGGCAGACGAAGAGATGGCCTTCCGCAACAAGAGAGGAATGAGAAGGAAAAGAGAATCGAGGGAGCGGTGCGGGGAAAAGACCCTCGCACGCGGGTGTCAGGAACAGGAACAGGAAGGCGCAGCTGAAGCCGAGGTTCGGCGAGTGCAGCCGAGTAGAAGCATGAGACCAGAGATCCCAGTCTCACAATAAGAACCAAAATCAAAAGAAAGCAGTAAAGAAAGAGCGATTGTGTATAGGATTAAATTTCTGGAGGAATTAAGATACTCTGACTGATCTTAATTGAAAGATCCAGCTGCTGAACACTCAGGGCAAATGATATTCCCGAGTCTCCCCACGGTCGTCCCGAAATCTGCCGAAAGTTCGGTCATCTTTTGCCCGGTGAAACGGAAGCAGATAGTTATGACTTAACTGGAGTATACACATTACTTTTGACATACTCGTATCTGAACACTTGATTGCTTGTCCGCCAGGTGGCTTTTGTATATAAAAGGAAAGTCATGTGAGAGTATAGTCACCTGTCGCTGAGAATTCCATGTGTATGTGCTCATCCCTTATGTATATCTCAATAGAAACAAATCAGAAAGGAATGTACAATGCTGTGAGAGCATGCTGAAAATGAATGGTCAAATGTCCTCTATGTATGTGCATGGCCGCCAACGCCTCCATTGAATGCAAGTCATAACTTCTAGTAGCATGCCAGTTATACATCAAGTGTCGTAAGCTCGTAAGGGTTGTCATGGTCACTACATCCGTCGAGTTTGGCTCTCTAAGAACCGCCGGACTCGGCATCAACATCTGCATCGTCACCATCGATGTTATGAGGAGCCTGAGGTAGGTGGCCGAGATGGGCTCCCCCAGGCGGATTCCGGTATGGTTGGGTTGGCTGGAGTTGATGCCAGCAACTGGAGAATGATATCAGCGATTGCTGCCAATCAAATCTCTGGAATTACATACCTTGGTGCTTGAAGCACATATCGAGCCATTGCCTCTCTGAATCGGCTCTTATACTCCTTGGGACTCGTGACAGTAGGCCGATTCTTCCCTCCGCCAGCAAATCCCCGGTCCTTGATCCATGATTCCAACTTTTTGTCCCAGGTGTAGGTGCGAATGCAATCAATTACACCGACCACCAGCTCCGACCGACTCTCGTCAATGGCAATCATCAACGAGTAGTCCATAACATTTTGGCGACCCAAGAAGAGGGTGTCGTTCCATACGCTCTGGCTCAGGAGCTTCTTCGAGTGTTCTCTGGCGAATAGTGGCGTTTCATAGATGAAGTCAACCATGTTCTCATCCAGAAGCACTTCGTTGCGTTCCCCCGTGCTCTGGACTTTACGATTTCTCATCGAGCCCTTGAGATCGAAGATCCGCGTCGGAACTCGATCGTAGAAGAGATTTTCCATCAAGAGCAAAAACCAGTTGAACTCTGTTCCTGTGGCGGGATTTTTGATGATGACCTGGTAGAACCCGAACATCTTTGCAATGGCAGAGGGTAGCTCGTGGAATAGCGCCTCAGACATGATCTGGAAATACGCTGGAGCAAACTTGAGAAATGCCTGTGTCTCGATAGGCGAAAGTGATTTCAGAATAAACCGATCATCCAGGGTCTTCAGAAACAGAGAGTTGGTCTTGCCCCCTTTGGAATCCCATTTAGCGCAACGAGACAGTGATTCCACAATTCGCTCTGCCACTCCACACTTTTTCCGCAGGGCGTCGAACTGCTCCGCATAGAATATCTTGCATAACATCTTGGCCTGCCCTTCCTGAAATTGATACTTGAGGTGAGTGCCAGTAGACCTGAGCAATGCATGTTCAACCCGTGCCTCATCGATGGCGTCCGAGCCCTCTCTCGAGGTCGACCTCTTTTCGTCAAGTTGCTCATATCGTCTCTGAATACTGGCTAGCTTTTCTTTATAATCGCTCGAGTCAAGCGCGAACGCAACCAGGGAGCTAGGCTCATCTTCTCGCACAATGATATCGCAATCTGCGAACACGTGATCGGACATGCTGAGTGGGTAATCGAGCGGCGCCCAACCGCTGGCAGAGCGCTCCGACCAAAAATTCGTTAGCATTTTCAAGAGGTTGCTTCGCTCATGCTTGGGGAGTTCCTTGAGATCGAGCTGCTCGTCCTCCGGAGACATCTTAGCCAGTTCTTCGTTCGAATCAGTCGTGTGGAGGTCCTCGGTTGAGGCTCGATCTTCATCGCTATGTATCTCCTCTTCACCCTCTGAGACGGTTGGGTGATCTGCTCGGCTTTTAGCCTCAGTCGTGGATGGCTGAGTGTTGAAATGCTGCGAGACGGATTCGCCCCTAGGTTCCTCCTCCAAAGTCCTCTCCAGCAATTCTCCGCTCTCTGTGGTCGACTCATTGAGCGGAAGGCGTGGTGTCGAAGGCATGAAGTCCTCTCCTTCGCCCGAAGGCTCTCGCTCCTCAACTGCGTCTCTAACATTCTTGTAGACTTCCACGATCGGCTTTGAGGATGCCAAAGGGTACGCCCGAGAATGTGTGCCCTTGGCAGCTCGTTGCTGTCTTTCTCGCTGACGCTCCTTCTCGAATTCGCGGCTCAATTGTTCGAAATGTTTGGCCAAGTTCGACACACGGGTGTTTTTCTTCCTACTCGGGACAGACCGAGGTATGAGCGATGGACCGGGCGCTAATCGAGAATTTCTAAGAGCAGTGAGGCCGAACCGGTCCGAAAACTTTCTGTCAGAGGGTCTAAATTTGGGTTCCGGGGTTGGGCTGGAGATATTGCCTGAGCCGCCAAAGCCCGCAGCTCCTGCCCTGAAACCACGCAGTGGTACAGCCATCTTTACTCTGTCCCTTTGACCTTGCAATGGTTGGGATTGGGCGCGGAGAAGTGGTGGAGATGTTGCTTTTCCAGTGCGTCGAACGACCCCTTCAGCAAGCCGAGGAATTCCCGAAGGTGTGGGTTGTGGTAACATATTTGAAGGCCTTTGAGGCTCTGTACCCAGAACTTGACCTTGGCTGTCCCCTTGCTCAGTAGGGGGATGCTCTGGCAAAACTTTACCTGACTCAGCGGCATCCGACGTGGCACCCGAGATGTCCTGGCTGCTTGCGAATTGCGTGGTTGAAGCAGGCAGCTGCTCGGACTGAGCTAATCGAGCGTTGGATTCAGGGCTCTGAAAACCCTCCGGCGCATCTATCTCGGCTGCAGGAGGAAGGGAAGGTTCTCTCTCTTCCGGGCTTGGTGATGGAGCCGACGATTGAGCCTCTTCATCCTTGTACAAGCTAGCTTCTTGGACATTCTTTTCGCCCGAATCTTCTTCCACCACAGATACGAGAACATCCTGAGCTTTCTCGGGTGACAGTGTCATACGACGCATCGGGCGCGGGTGTTCAGTCGCTCGGTCATGACCACTTTCGACCTCGGTTGGGGTTGTCGGAGGCTCTTCAGTTGACGTGAGAGACGTCACGGAGGAGTCCTTATCAAGGAAAATCTTCTTCAATTGCAAAGTCGCCAGCCGCCTAATGTCTTTTTCTGATGGGAAGAAGTTTTTCTCAAAATCAGCAAAGGCAGTATCCCATTCCACGACTTTTTCTTGGACTGAGCGGAGTACTTCATTCAATGGAGTCACTTCCCAGTATCGCGAGCCAATATACTTCTCTTGTAACTGCTTGATCAACGCGGCGTGGTCCTCGTTGGCTTTCTTAGTCAGTACCTCAATTTCGCTCTTGCACGCTTCTGCCAACTTTGGAACGACACTATCAACATTGATGCCCTTCAACCGTGCTTTGACAGAGGCCATGAATCTGTTCAGACGTCGTTCTATCTTGAGATATACCTCGTTTCTCAATTTCAAGTCGTTGTCCACTTTCCAGGTGACCCTGGTTCTTGGAACGATGATTTCAAGCAAATTGATGATGTCGTAGTGAATCCGTAGAGCAACGTCTTTGTAGCCGAAGAAACGAAGATGGTCGCGTTGCAGGTCATGGGGGCAGACACCGGCGCGAGCGTGCAAGTTCTTGCTGTAGAAAGAAAGCTCCAAATACTTCCCAAAAGAATATCTCCAGGTACTATCTGACATGGGGAAGACTTGTGTTTCGTTGCCGCAAATTTTGCAGCAACTCCACATGAGGATCGTGTCCTGAAGACCTCGTAGTTTTGATGGATAGGGCTGAACAAATACACTTATCTGAGCCTCTCCATGTACGTATTGACGGTGATGTTCGAACATCCGCTTCTCACAGCCGTTTGCTGTACAAATGGCGTTTGCATTATGACAAATGTCCTCCACATATTGTCCAATAGTACAGTCGGGCTCAAATATCGCATCGTCACCGTGCTCGTTGTAGTACTCAAGGGCGAACAGGTCAGGGCCAGAGCAGGGGATAGATGTGGTAGTGCAAACCAGACTAAAGAGCACGACTATATTCTGATGGGCGTATGGGTCGAAGAGACTGGAGGCGCCGGAGATGTATGCTTCCCATTGACGCTTTTGGGTCTGATAATGATGCAGGGCATTGTCGTATTCGGCATCATGAGCCGCATGTAGAACTTCCTTGACTTTTGGAGGAGCATTATGAGGAGATTGGTGAACCATTTCAGGTGTTATGAGAATGAACTTTTGCGACTTGGCCTTCTCGTCTGAAGCTTGTTCGGAGCTGATGTCTTGATCACGAAGACGCTTCAAATATGCCAGCCTTCGCTCCATTTCTCTAGCACGTTTGAGAAGGTAAGGAGGATCAAACTTCACGAAAGGGGAAGCGGATAGGATTTTCGTCTCAGTGTCTCGTACAATATCTTCATAATAAGTTGGCATGGGAACGTCATCAGGCACTTCTGGGTCATCGGTTGTAATAGTCGCGTTGCCGATAGAAGCAGAATCGCTTCTTTTCTCATCCGATCCTCCTTGGGAGCAGGGCGATATGGTAGCAGTCTTGTCGTCTGATTTGATTCTCGTAGATGATGTCCCAACATTGGCCGCCTCGTCGGCAGCATTTGAGGCGCTTTCTTCAATCGACATAGGAATCTGGGCGAATTCGTCTCTCATCAGGCATGTTTCCAGCCTCAGGTTATACACAACGTATACCATAAACTCTGTTATCCTTTTCACCTTTGTGAGCACATCATGGTCGCCTCCGCGAAGAACAATTGTGCAACCAAGCTCTTTGCGACAACCAGAGATGTACATATAGGTCTTCTTACGACCGTTGTACACATATGTCTTGACATCAAAGCTGCCACAGTCACTATGCACTGGAGTTGTCACGAGTTTATCCATAGAGGTGATGATCCTTGTTTGAGTACACCGAGAGACGGCTTCAAGCACGGACGATTTGACATTGTAAGCCGTCGCAATGTTGGCTCTCTCTAGCAGTTCAAGTGCCAAGCCAGATACATTTTTTTCAACCAGAAGTAAATTAGGCCGCAGGGCAGCTATTCGGCTGATGAGATTTTCGAGAAACTCTCGCTCTTGGCGAATAACGGGCTCCAGACTCATAAAGTGTTGCTGGTGACGAGCGTATTCAAGCGGAAAAGTGATAATTAAGATCCTCGGATGTGGAATGCTCCGAGGCATGCTTTTGAGAGCGAGGTTCTTGGTAAAAACTAAGCCTGAAACGTAGGACGTGTCACCCGGCCGGCCGCCCAAGATCTTTTTAAGCTTGACATAGTGTCGAATGTCCATGTCATCCCCGTTTTGGACGTCTGGATCGACTTCATCCGCGGCTTTGAGGAGTATAGGCAGAAGTGCAGTTTCCCAGCTGTTAGAGTGAGGCACTGAAGCATCCTTCAGAAGCTGGCGAAGGAGTTTGCGAACATGTTGCAGGCTAGCTTTATTCAACTCTACCGGGGGAGCCCCCGCTCCTCTCATAGATGAGCTCCTGGTCATCTTGAATCCGCTCGGTGTAACTCCTGTCGGAAAGACATGGCCGGCATTTGAGGCATCATGTGGATTTGACACACTGTCCTTCGACGCTCTGGGGGAATGGCGGTGGATACTGCTTGCAACGCTAAGATTGCGCCGCCGGGAAGCGCGCGGCAGATTGACAGCTCTTGAGCTGCTGAAACTACCTTCATCTCCATCACGCCCAGAAATAATGAAGCTGGCAGCGCTTCGCTCCCCGAGAGCAGACCGACCTTTCTTCATGGCAGCCAAAAGGCCACCAAAAGTCGTCCTTTCGCTGTCGCCTCCGCTCTTCGACAGAGAGCCCTCCGAGACTGCAGATAGCAAATTTGGTTGTTCATCCCCGCTTGATGCATCGTCAGAGAGATACTGCGCTAGATCTGGATCGATAATATTATCTTTGTGAAACGCAGGCAATCGAGCTCTCATGGCGTTGTCTTCCACATTCCGCCGTTGGAAAGGCGCCCGGTCATCGTGGAAAGATTTGAAGTTTCGGATGTATTGTTGGCGAGAGTGATGACGCTTGTGGCCCATTGCGTGCGGGCGTCCGTTCAGGGTTGACTTGAGCGATCTTGACGACGTAGGTCTCACCAAGTGTCGCTCTGGGCTGATTTCAAGCACAGCTGAACGGCGGTTATGGCCCTCCCCTGCGCGTCGCGTTGCTGGTATCGCCATCGTGGGCGTCTTCATAACGTGCTCGATGGATTGAGAGATTACAGACGACGAGTCGTCGTCATCGGCAGACATTCGGGAATAATTGCCCAAGCCTAACTCGGAGACCCTAGAATTTAACACGATGGGGCTCTGTTCGCTATCTGAAAACTCGGACGAATCATCATCATGTCCGTTGATCATAGCTTCGCAGGGTTTGCAAACGCGGATCGATCCAGGTTGACCGAACCTGTCGCCTGGTATCAAAAGTGTACACTTGGAGTCGAAAATCTGGCCACACGTCCGACAGTGGTGCTTTCGTCGAAATGTGGAGAAGGTTTCGCCGCAATGGAAACAATCTTTTGCATTCTCATCGCGCATCCAAAACTCTTTGCTGAGTAGCTTGCTCCTGAGTTGCGATACAACCCCATCACCTCCGGCATTTGAACGTTTGCTTCGTCCATTGTGACCGGGAAAAGAGTCCACAGCGGTATTTATAGGCGCCAAAGCGGGTGGACCGGCCGCTGCTTCGGTTGAGTGATTTTTGGACGTACCATAGGCCGAGAAGCGGCTTAGGCTGGTCATACCTGGTCTGTCCTTGGGTTTATTTTTGGCAGGAGCCTTTGACGATGCGCCTAATTTCGGGTCCTCATCTATCAGTGACAAGGAGGTTGCGCCTGTAGATGGACCCTGAGCCTCGTGCAAGGAACCAGCCCAGTCACCAGGCAATTGAGAGACACTGGTTGTCCCAGAGCTTGCAGTTACCGAGGCGCGATCGAGGTTAAAAGAGGCGGCGGAGTTCGACCTGATTCTCTCTTGAGCAAATGACGTCCCCTCGACTTCTCCCTGGATGGAATGCTTCGTCACCTGCAGCGGGGCAGGCAATGCAGGGTCGAGATCATGTGAAGTACGCCGCTCTAGTTTCTTCGTACTGTCGGATGGTTGACCCGTCAGCTTCGATTTGCTGCTGGGGTCTAATGCCGCATGTCCTTCGTTGGGCAGGTTGTGGGCCTTCGCCGCCAGTGCTGGTGAGTGGGTTTGTCGCTCGCTGAAACCGGACGAACTCATCGAAGCAACATAAGGATTCTCCTCTCTCTCAGTACCCTCAGAGCCCATGGTCTGCACGCTGCTGGAGGATACGTTGACGGAAGTGTTGCTCGAGTAATGCGCGGGCTCCTTGACAGCACTAACATGAAGTTCAGTAACTGTCGGATCTACGGCTGCTGGATTGCTGGTAGATTTCGGTAAGGGTACGGTAGGAGATTTAAGTGCAGGTGAGGCAGAAACAGAGGCCTTGGAGGATATGCTTGCAGTTTTCGAAGACAGCTTGGAACCTTTCCCTGTAGCCAGATCATGAGCGTTTTGAGAGCTGCCAGACGTTGGAGATTTCAGCCTAGACCCCTGAGAAGAGCTTGGGTTGAACTGCTGAGCCTCGACCATGGGACCTGTCGAATCAGCAGCGGACTTGGAAACCGAGCGCTCTGACGTTGGACTCTTGATTGCTGGGCCGTCAGGAGCGCCTTTGTCCGACGACTTCCCCACACCGCTGACAATGTCTCGCATCCCTCCTACAGAGGTTCGGAAACGGCTGTATAACCCACTCAGACCGCCTTGCAGCTCTCCTGAAAGGTTCTTTTCTTCTGTCGCGGATGCCGGAACCGGAGGGCTAGTGAAATCATTGAATACGGTGAGAGAATCCGACTGATAGGCAGCCGTATGTATCTGGTCGAGGGCTGCATTCAGACTTTCTCGTTCAGCCTGGGTTGAGACGGAGGCTCGTGAACCTCGTCGCCCAAGGGGGAGGAAGATGGATGACGCGGATGGACTTGACGTCCCTTGAGACTGCTGATACGCCATTGAGTTCCTTTTGTCCAAGCAGCGACAGCACTGTTGTTATTCACTCAAATATATGAGAAAACGGTCGGCCTAGTCTAGTATGTGTCAGGTTTCGGAAATTCATGTGTGTGAGCTGCTGCAGAACAGCTCGCTGTGGTCCTGAGGAGCAACAGTGGGTGAAGCCTGTCAGGTAAGCATAGAGCCGGAAGTGGTAGAGTCAGCATCATCCCAAGACGTGATGTGCATCAAGACCGGATATGGGACCAAAGGTAAGGATGACTACTTCGTGGGCCATGTCAAGTGGCGTAAAGGAAGTTGATTGTTGACTGATGGACGGAGTAGTGTTTCTGTTGCTTTCCGACGATGCGGGCAGACATGTGCTCTGCTGCCCAATGACGTGGATGTGGCTGAAGCACTTTGTGGCTGGTGCAGTTTCCCGCTAGGCGGTCATCGCGTGGAACCGCGTTAAGCATGAAAGGGAATCATATTGTTCTGAATAGGTAGTGAATCATGTTTAGAAGATCATGGTTAGTCCATCCTTATACGAAAGCGATTGCTCAAGCTTTGGAGTGCTCTAATATGGAATGCATTGTATTACTGCAGACCGTCCGTTTGATTCTAGCAACCACTACTCCACATCACCATATGATCTTTCAGTGATCTTCTTGCAATAATACCTCGACGAAGCCTCCATTTTCCGCGGACTAGGATGTTGTCTATGATATTCTTCATCCCAAGCCAATTGTCTCATCCGCACGATGGCTTCTGCAGAGATCTGGATCGCTCCTCTAATTGAACGATCGCTAAAATATTACCTTAACGGGTCAAGGAGCGAAATCCACTTAGAAGATGATGGAAGTAACCTACGTTTCGCGGACAATAGTCCACATTCAGCTCTGATAGTGAAAGTAAGTAAGCCGAATTCGATACCTATTGAGCAGGCTTTACTAAAGAGTTCATCTTTGCTCCTAGTGGACGGAAGACGACAGATCACCCATGCCTAATTTGACGGACACGAACACTCAGATTCAAGCGATCCTCGCTCGGGAGTCGTTAGAAGAGTATCGTAGGGACTACCCTGACCGACCGTTGAGCAAGGATGGAATGCGAGGATTTACTATAAACTTATTGGATTTCGAGCTTGTCTTCGAATATACCACCTCAGAGCCCAAGCTTCATCTATACGTGAAACGTTTCAGCATCGCATGGGACAAAAGCAGGTTCAAGGGGCCGCCACAGGGCAAGATTATCAGAAGAAAGCCCGAGGTGTATCAGTTGATGCGATCTGCCTCTCAAAAGGCCAAGTCTCGGGAGACTGCCGGCACAGATAGTGCGGTAAATGACCGCTCCGATGATTCGATCAAGTCTCAGGACGGTGAAACGGATGGAGTGAACGACTCCCAAAATCAGTTAATGTCACAGATGCCCCCAAAGCAACCAGTGGAGCTAATTGCCGGTGCCTTTGCAACTGCGAAGATGCTTCTGGGTTCCTTGAAACCCTCTGCCAGGCCGGCGCAAGACTCACAACCAAAAAAAATTAATGAGACGAATGTTGTTGCCTTAAAAAGGGATCGTCTTGCTCTTGAAGAGACAACAGAACAGCCTAATATTAACCGTTGCGCTGGGCATATAGATGAGCTATCCGCAAGCTTCCTAGTGGCTGAACCTTCGGGCCAGAACGGCAATGCAACCGTCAAAGTACCTGATCAAACTGATGCCGACACGACTGGTGAATTACCATCTAAGACCGGAAGTGGCACAGCGTCTTTCAACACTGAAACAGAGGAGAGAGCCTTGACAGATTATACCAAAGATTCAGACCACGAACTGAATAAAGAGGAAGTCCCTAGCCGGATTGTTCAGAAAGTTCCTCTGGAACAAGTTGATTCAGCTGCGGAGACCCTTCCCACGGATATTTCTACCAGCAATGCAGACCCTTGGGATGGCATGACAGAGATTCGGAAAGAAGATGTTACGATACCCAAGGATCAGGCAAAGCTACTAGATGAGCAGGCCAAGCTTTGCTGGCTGTCACCAGCCCCTGGCCAGGGCTATCCGCAACCCAACGTGCCGCCTTTACTCCTACAGCAATGGAATGATATTGCGTTGCAAAGAAGTCTTCGGGCAGAAGAACGTCGGAACAAGGAGCTGGAGAACTTGGAGCTTCATGGATCCCGTCCAAGCTCATCAGCTGCTACCAGCTCCTCCGACTCGGCCTATGAGACCCCAAGCGGCGATCGGATCGAATGGTCTCAATCTCCACCGCGGGGTCAGAACCTACCTGCGGACAGTAGCCCGTCCGAGGCGAGACCGGTACAAAGGCCAACTATGAATAAAAGGGATGGAGGAAATGGTTCGTTGAATCAGCCACCCCATGATGTGGAGGAGGAACGACAGACAAATGTTCATCAAGAAATATCGCATGAACAGGAGGAGCTTGAACCTTTGCCAAGAGGTGTGCGAGAGTCCCCCAAATCTATTGCACTTCCTGCCGAACTGCGTCTACAAGTTAGCGGGGAGTCTCTTCCTGAGCTTGACGACAGTGACAATCGAGTTCCCCTGCAAGAACCCCAAGTTGAGTTTGACCGGATGAGTGAGGACTCGGTGATGGATACGTCTGTTCCCCGTCCGCTGGGAGTAGACCCGAGTCAATCAGAGCAAGAAATTGACAGCTCAGAACCATCGCTCCCGGGTTTGTCCACTCAGGTTCAAGTGCAGGTCATGGAAACTCCTGCTGCACATCTTGTTCGATTCCGTCAGTTTACTCAAAGCACAGGCGGTGCTAGCCAGGAGTCGCAACAGCCAGAGCAGCCATCGTTCCAGGCCGCAAAATCCTCTTCTCAATCACGAATTTGCAATACCTATCGCAGCAATGACGAGGCGAAGGATCACACATCCCAGGACATGTCGAATCCAACACAACCGCATGGGACTGCCGAATCCAGCGATGTCAATATAATGGAGACACAGCTCAGCGGTGGGGAGTGGTCATTTCCAGGCACGACTCCCTCGAATTCTGCCCATGTGCTGAACTCTTCCGGACCAAGGGACCGTGAGCCGAGCGTATTCATCACTGCATCCCCGGGCCAGGCAGAAGAGTCATCGAATCCATTTTCTTCATATCGAGAGGCTCCCTCTTTTACGCAGACTGACGATGGAAATGGAACATCAACCGACTTTCCCAGCCCCACGCAAGTTACCCCTACTAGGCATCGAATGTCTCCGTTGAAACGAGGCGCATCTGAAATGGACATCGAACGAAGTCCTCCTTCTAAAAGGCCAAAGATTGCGTGGAGCGAAGGCGGCGACTCTGTCCAAGGGCTTGCGTCCAAAGTAATTTCGCGCCGAGAAACCTACATCAATCGCTCCGCGGAGCACGCTGAGGCACAGAAAGTCTACGAGAAGTTTCGGAGTGACTACCCCGACTATAATGGCGACTTCCACCATTTCGCGATGTTGTGTTCCAAATTGCAGGCTCTGCGGGCTAAAGGACATTTCAGAAGGTCGTTTCTCTGGGATGATTTTGTTATCATGCACTTGCAGGAATATGAACGTTACCTCAATCAACGCGCGGCAGCTGACGTTAAGACACTGGAGTATGAAGAATTCTTCGCTTCCTACATCTTGAGGCCATCTTACAAAAAGCGCAGTCTCACAACGAAAGGGATTGAAATATCTGCTGCGCAGCATAATCCTTCGACCGCCGCCGGCGTTCCAGCAATCCCGCGGCATGAAACAAACACTTCATTCACCGGCAGCCTTGTGGATAGATTCTCCAACTTCCACACACACTCCTTTGGGCCTGAGACTCCAGGCTCACGGTCTGCAGCCACGGTTGATCAACTAACGTCGAGCCCCTCGCCAGCTCCTCTGAAACGGCCGAGTCGCGACACATCCGCAAAAAGCCGACGCATGGACGAGGAACCACTAGCGATGGAGTTGGCACCTATCGAAGTCACCCGTCCACATAATCCTACTCCCAGCTCACCGTCCGAAGCGATGGTTGATCGACTGGAGCGGAGCCCCGCGCGTGGTTCTTGGAGCAAATCGAATCGCGACACATTCGAAAGAGGCTACCGCATGGTCGAGGAACCACAAGATACGGAGGTGACGCCTAGAGTCACCCGCTCACATAACCTTGTCCATGACATTCCCAACCAAACAAACCCTTCACTGGCTAGGACGTCTCTGGAACCACAGGTACCTACTGGGGTTCCTCCTTCGTCAGACGTCAATCGCGAAGATGATGACGGGCGCAGCATTCCGGAAAGCGACCCCAACAACGACGAAGTCGATGAGGGCTTGATGGACGAATCCCACGAGATTGCTAGCTTCGAACTTGGCGATGACGGATCTTCCACCGCTCCAGCGGCAGATCACTCCGACGCAGGATCCGACGCAGTGAGCGAGGCCGACAGTTTTGACGAAGACTGGGTAGGATGGCACTGCCGCCGACTTCAAAGCACAGGGCCGTTTTGGTCCGACGATCCCAACACGCCATTCAAGGTATTGGCCCGAGCCGACGCGAACGTGAGGTCTGAGCTACTGCGCCGTGGGATGGCCCATTTACCTGTCGACGAGAGAGGAGTCATCCAACCGCTAGTTGACTATCCGCCAGTCGTTTCATTGCATGATTTGCTGGACGGGCCTGCTCCCAGTCCCAGGCGTCCCTCAGATGAACCGCAAAGTTGATATTCCATCTCCGCTCCGTACATCTGTATATCGACCTCCCGCCCTTTTCTGTGGCTTTTTCTAAACGACCTTTCTTCGTCCACACCTGTTATGACTGTATCTTACTTTTTTCTACTTATTTTTTTTTTTTTTTTTTTTTTTTTTTTTTTTTTTTTTTTTGTTTCTTGGGTGTACGTTTTCGGTGTATAGTATAAACCCTTTCTTTTATACTTATCTCTCAGCCTACCTGACTACTTGATTGCACGTTCTCTCTTCTCTCCGTGAAAAATAAAAAAAACAAAGTTTACTACTTCTACTTTCAATTACACTTCCCCTCTTCAAAT